TATAAAAAAACGGTCCACAACACACAAGAATTGTCCATAGGATGCAATAGTCCATGAGCCAGAATTCATCTAATGGCTCTAAGTGTGTAGTAGTGTGTGTGTACGAATAAGAGTAGAAGGGGTGAGCAGACTACAACAGCCTCCTACCAACCCCACAAGGCAATGATGTTACTGGGCCGGTTCTGTTCCAGGTAAATAATGGCTCGCCATCAACTGGCCCGCACTGGTCACACCTGGCCAATTCCCGCAGATAATTGACACCCCGCGGCACCAGTCGGCTTCCAAACAACGGTAATGGACACGAGTGCAGCTGCTCCGGTGGCTTCCCCTTCATACTACTGATCGGGGAACTCACCGCAGCTTCTAAACCCGCGCTTGAGTGCTAGGATTGGTTGAAGCGCTCACTGAACTATCATGTGACTCTTGCATGAAAAATCTAAATGAAGGGTGTGTTCAGGTGACCGGGCAAAATTAATTAAATTTTGGACAGAATTTTTCCCTGGAAATAGAAAACACAGTCACCACATTTAATAAATATAGACTAGTTAAAGATCAGTAAACATTATTAATACATATTATTATTTCTTCATATGTTTAGAGTTTGTTTTAGGTTTGTTTCATCATGTCCCCAGAAGAGATGTTGAGAGGGTTTTGAGAGTAGAGGGACTGGAGATGACAGAGCTTTATTTAGTCCCTGAACAAAAGATACCAGTCACACGAACAAACATATGTTGTGCTGTCTGTGCAGTCATCTTCAATTCCAAGGTTATGTCCCAATTGGTATATAGGGCAAAGATTACATTGAAAACATCTTATGAAATCATCCTTCCACATAATCATTTTTAAAGATAACCCTAAAGGCTCAACCATTAGATGACAGATGTAGAATTGGCTAATTAAATACAATTCGTACCAATTGCTGTTGTAAAGTGACATGGCATTTCTAGTAGTCTATATTTTCTAATCCAGCAGATCCTTCTGTTGGGCTGCAAAAATAATCCTTAATCCTTTGTTATTTGCAATAATATCACATATATTATTGATAAACCAGTGAATTCCAAAATGTTTTGTTTCAGAATAAGTTTATATATGTGGTTTGGAGATTGTAAGAGCCAAGCAGTTAAGACTATGTAGATGGTTTTTCAACTAGTCTACAATTTATTTTCTCCACCTTTAAAGCTACGCTATGTAATTTTTTGTTTTATAAAAAATAAAATGTTATTAATGAGAGTGCAACGAATCAATTTCCCAAAGCTTGTCTTAACTTCACGCAAATACACTTTGATAAAGCTAATAATGACTTATATTTTAGAGCTGTCAGGGTGGATTTAGCAGGAAATTGCATTTATTTTCCCATGTGTGTCATGAATGATCTGTACAGAGAAAAGTAGCTCTGAGTGTGTAGCATGTAAACAGAGGACTGACCATGAATCACTCAAAATGAAAAAAAAAAAAAAAATACAGCTTTATTTATTTTTCCCTATGCTCTAAGTAAGATGTCATGTGTTTGCAGTGCATCGAACCACATGCATCCACTTTGAAAACAATGTTCTTCAGCAAGATGTATGCAGTTTTATTTTTGAATCACTACATATCTAATAAATCGTGCTGATTGTGCATCTTTGTTTCACAGAATGAGGTGTTGATGATTTAGGAGACAAAGGCGGTGTGTCGTGGCTCACGCTATCTCCCAGCAGGTCGTATGGAGATAGTGAAAAATATTGTAGAAGCTGAAGGCTTACAAATTTTAAGAATGTTTAATTTAGATTCAACAGTATTTTAACTGAAAAAGTGCATACAGTATTTACCATTTTGAGGCCAAGAAGATTAAGCCAAGCATTCCAGGTATCTGACATTAGCTTTTGTCTTTCTGCACTTCCTGGCCATCAAGATACAGCTCTGTTTTTGTCTCTATGATAATGGTAATGGTTGAGCAATCTAGTCAGGCTGATGGGATTAGCCTCAATGCCCTGAATAACTGGTGTGTAGAATAACTGGAATAGCTGTTATGTGGTGGAAGTTCTTGCACACTATGGCTGCCATTAGCCATAGTGCCATTAGAAGTTCTGGCGCACTAGGGCTGTGTCGAAAAAAAAAAAATCAATTCACGAATTATGAATCGATTTTCAGATTAAGATCGATTGCAAGACTGGAAAACTGGAAACTGGTTGAAGAGATCATTGGTCTATGAGACGAAGGACCTTGCTTACACACTCCTTCCCCACATCCCCCACTCTTGCAGAGATCATTCAAACAAGAATTTAGAAGAACAAGAATTTGGTTTTAATGTGAATGATTATCATTAAGGATTGTGTTTAGTATCATTTTAAAGGTCTCAGGGTGACTGGTACAGATGTCTCATTCCCAAAGAAGTAAATCAAAAGGTAATAAAGTTCTTAAGAATATAGGAATAACTGGCACACAAAGGAATGTGGTCTCTAGGCATGGCCCTACTTCCAAAAGGTGTAAATTCATGAATGCTAATTTCCACTGTCCCTTGCAAATAGTCAAACTTCTCCCCCCTCTAGTATGGAGGAGGAACACAGTAAATTTCCACTAAACTCATGTTTTACACATCAAATGAGGTCTGGCTATATAAGGAAAATGCCACAAGAGCTCAGGGCTCTTTATGTATCAGATGAGCCCGTGAATGCTGTGTCGTAATGTCGGGTAAAGGATTTTTCTCTTTGTTCAAGAACATTTGATGGTTTGCATTGATTATCTTTCAGTTGATTATGGAATTGTAATAATACATTTACCTGACATAAACAATTTTTTATATTTGATTATTCTAACAGACTTTGACTTTATTTTCATTAGAGTTAAAAGGATTATTCAAACATTAACATATACTGTATTTAATGATGCACAGATATCATTAAAAAACCTTTTCATTTTATGGAGTCAAATGAAACCAATTAATACATACGATAAAATGTATTGCATTTAATTAAAAATCCCTTTGCCATGAGAAGAGACGGAACACGCGTGAGACCTTCACCTCTAATCGAGTACTGCCATTGGATCGATTTAGCAGGCCTTATAGCATCATCCAGATTTATGCTGAACATTGGTGGTGGTGGTTGAGGATATTCCCTTCCATTTGAAGCACATTGAGTGCCGAGCACTATATAAATGTAATGAATTATTATTATTATCTAACTCTGTTCAAAGAATATGACACATTTACCTAGCCTGGATGCCAGCCCGAACTCCGCCCACAACATTTTTTGGTCGGGAAGTTCGGTCTGGACTCGATCCATTGAGGAGAAATTATGATCAGGCAAAAAATGAACTGGCCAATCAAATTGCCAGGGCGGGCTTTATACGATGATGGCCAGATGATCTGCAGGGACGTAATCATCACGTTATCAAGGAGCGCTTGTCAAAGATGACTGCAGCTGGAGAATTGAGATGTATCTTTTGTAAAATAAATCGACAGCGCATTCATTTTAATAGACAAACAGAGAACTGCAATCAAGGCATTTGTCGATCGGAAAGATATTTTTGCTGTCCTTCCTACATGATTCGGGAAAAGTGTAACTTATCAGCTGGCTCTGGCGGTCTTTAAGAAGATGGGACGTAATGAAAAGTCTGTGGTCGTTGTGGTTTCCCCTTTGGTGGCACTCATGGAGAAGTAAGTAAAATAAGCAACACTCGTTATTTAACTTCTAAAATAAAAAAAATAGGCTACGTTCTGTATTTGAAAACTGCGCTATGCAAAGAATGGTAAATGGTAAATGGACTGCATTTATATAGCACCTTCATAGACCTAATGGCCACCAAAGCGCTTTACATTTGCCTCACATTCACCCCTTCACACACACATTCATACACCGACGGCGGTGTCAGCCATGCAAGGCGCCAGCCAGCTCGTCGGGAGCAGCTGGGGTTAGGTGTCTTGCTCATGGACACCTCGACACTTGGTCAGGTGGAACCGAGGATTGAACCACCAACCTTTCGGTTTGTAGACAACCCACATGAACCACTGAGCCACTGCCGCCCAAAGAAATTGACTTAGTTGCTCTGATTGGTTGTAGGTCTACCGACTATCCAATTGAGTGCAGAGTTTGTTTTTTTTCCTGGTTCGGTTATGACACGCCTCATAATCAAAGCCCAACTGAGAAGTTTCAGACTCATATTCTCTTTTGAATACGAGTATGATGAAGTCAGGCTAACATTTACCCCTTTTCCACCGAAAAAAGAACTGGTTCGGAACTGGTGCTGGTTCAAAGTTGGTTCGGAGTTGGTTCAACTTGCGAACCCGTTCAGAACCTGTTTGTTTTTCCACTGACTAGAGCGCCCAGGGAACGTCGTTACGTCACTGTGCACGTCGCTAGAAACGCTTACATTGCTTTACATTATCTCTAACTCGTTTACCAAGAAAACTTTAAAAACAATTGAAATATGTAAGTCTTTTAATCTTTTTGTTTGATATGTAATCTTTTCTGATAAGTTATGTACCCCTGTCTTGTGTCATTTTTCTTTCCATTTATTTGTTCTATATCGTGACTGTTTTCTTCTTTGCTTATGTTTCAAATAAAAAATAAAAATAAATAAAAACGCTTGCGTGTTTCTGCAGTTTCTCCTGGCTTTGCGATGGTCAGAAAATATGTTTAGAACACATCTAAACCCGCCCCAGCCCCCGACGTAAACATGACGTGCTAAAAGAACGGTTCTAGTTCAGCAAAGAGTTGGTGCCGCTTTGGAACTAGTTTTCTCGGCCGCGAACCGGTTCTTTGTCTGTCAAAACACAAAGAACTGGTTCGCGCGCAGGCACCGGCTCCGAACCGGCTCTCAAAATGCTTTGGTGGAAAAGCGGCTGTTATGAACTAAATAACAGATTACATACTATATATTTATGGTTCTGTGTTAGTAAACACATTGATAATAGTATATGAGAACATTCGCTTTGACAAAAGCTATTTTACCATTTACAAACTGCCTTTTACAGCAAAAATGTATATCAAGCTACATTTAGTTTCATTTAAGACCATAGAGACGTTTGATACAATGAAAGTTTATTGCTGTGAAAACATAAATAAGCAAGGATTGAGTGCAGTCGTCACAAAAGACCCCGATAGAAAATAAAGATCTGAGAGTACCAACCAATGGCAAATCACAAACACACAAATCTTTGTACATCTCCTACCCTTAGATTCAGCTATATAACACTTAGAAATAAAACAGCATTGATCATTCACGTTTAAGAGAAGTAAAGATAAATAAAATTTATTTTACACACACACCATGTGTACACTTAAAGTCCAGTTAATAAAGAAAAAAAAATATAGGGGATGTGCAATAGCTAAAAATCCATAGAAGTCAGATTTCACTTATTATGTGATGAGAGTAAGGAGAGATGACTGACTGACAAGACATCCAACCAGAAACACTCAAATTCAAAGAGGAGTGAATGTCTGGACCTAAAACTATATAATACAGTGTTTATAGTAAAACTTAACTTATGCGAGACACACGTTTTTTCTTAAAGTGAATTGTCATCATCGTTCAGCAAGACGTGGAGCTGTGGAGAATAAGCAGCTTTGTACCTTAGACAGTGTTTGTGAAATCCAGTAGCACATGTCTGATTTTTTTTAATTATTTTTTTCTTGAGCAAAAGTTAAAGGAGTTGCATGTAAGAAATGTATTTCAAATAATCATAAAATGGCCCTGATATGTCACTAGACATTAAGAAATCATGTTCATTTCAAATACTTCGATCACTAACAACAGTAGTCCTGCCAGGATATTGTCATTTAAATAATGAAGTTGCAGCCCTCAACTGATGTTGATGTTGTCATGCGTTTTGGTTTGATGGTCCACCATCCACCGATCTACCAATCATGAAGTCATTAGTGTTGCAGCATCAGGGTTGCCAGCTCTGCTCTAGTTACCACAGCTGCAGCTACAAATGTATCGGATAAAATATCTATCCTATCTGGCAACCTCGAGTCAGGGGGGAAGGGGAGGGGATACACCACTCTACAGTCATTTGAAAGGGATTGCAGTACCAGTTTTGGCCACAATCTTACATAAAGCTCCTTTAAACTCCCATCAGACAAGTTGACTGCTCCCTGAAAACAATCATTAAAAGTGACTTGCAAATCTACAAATATCACTACTTAACTTTGTTCTGTGCAAATCCATTTTCTCTGAATGACGGAGCCATCCAACAGATGTTGTTGGGTCATGATCCTTTGTATTGTCTTTGGTTTAAGTATCATGGATTCATTGCTCTTCTATGGGTAGTTTGACAAACGCTATGGCAGCCAGTTCCTTGCAGAACTCCTCCAGAACTATCACACCTCTCAACAGAGTCATGTGATCCACCCTGACAGAGAGAACAGACCGACACATAAAGGAATTTTATCATTAAAAAGAATAACAATAACAAAACAAAAAAACATTTTGTCAGCCTAACATTTACAAATTATGAATGCTTCTTAAAGGGGCAGTTCACCCAAAAATTGTCACCACTGACCCCTTTTGTATATCCATTTAAGGATGGAATACACTACACAACTTTTGCCAAGATGTCTACCCCAATAGAGTGCTAGTTGCCGAAATCAGTCTGCAGATTTGAGATTTGACAGATTTCACAGAAAATCCTGTAGTGTATGACAAGCACAAACTAAATGTTTTAGCTTCAGACTCTAATTACAACCATTCCCGATTGCAACCAGTAAGTAGGATATCAAACGTTTAATATTTTGAGCTGACTTTTAAAACGCATATCTATTTCATTTGTCATGTGTTGAGGGGGCGCAAGTTTCTGTGTGGGTGAGTTTTGTTCACAATAACTTCTGGTAGTGTGTGATCCTCAGTCGTTTAATGTATAATGACCAGTTTTTTCTTTTCTGTAAGTCTGTAAAGGCCTGTTCATTCACACGCGATATTCTCTAACGTTTAACGCCTTGTGACTAAACAAAGGGTGCAATGTGAGTGTGCACACCGACACGTTTTTTTAAAAAACGCCTCGGGTTCGCTTTTAAGATGAGGAAGATGCAAGGCAAGATGAATGTGGAGCTGCTGGTCTCGTTGGTGTCGGAACCAGTGGTGGAATGTAACGAAGTACAAATACTTCGTTACTTTACTTAAGTACATTTTTCACGTATCTTTACTTTACTTAAGTACAATAAATAGTGCATACTTTTTACTTTTACTTCGTTACATTTTGCAGCAATTATTCTACTTTCTACTCCACTACATTTCTACAACTTCTGTTACATTTTCGTTACATTTTCTGATCAGTTTTTCCCCTGCCAAAACATAATCTGACCGTCCGTTCGTTGCACGTTTGTCTCACCAGTGACGTTTGGTTGCTATAGATACAGTATATCAACCCGGTCACACTAAATGCGTCTCACACGCAGTGTGTTTATCATGCAACTCATACGCGAAAATTTGTTTTTACGTGCATAGGAAACACACCGTGTGTAATATATGTTTGGTTTGGTTAGGATTATGGCAAGCCAAGAGGTTCAGAATTACACCATAAATTAATCGCGTTTACTGCCAAACATAGTTATTAACATATAGTAAGGATAAGCATGATATTGCCTAATTGCAAGCTTGTTTCAGAAATGGTGACATTTTTTTTCCATCATTATTGAACATCATTATAGGAGTAGGCTATTAGGTTGAATGAGTTAGAATTAAATGTTTTATTAATCATTAGAAAATAGACATTAAGATAATAAATTGTTATGCAAGTACTTTTACTTTTAATACTTAAAGTACATTTAAAATAAAGTACTTTTTACTTAAGTATGGTTGTCATTGTGTTACTTCTACTTTTACTAAAGTAAATATTTATCTGGGTATTTGTACTTTTACTTAAGTACTGAGATTCAGTACTTCCTCCACCACTGGTCGGAACATAAAGAACTATATGACAAACGAGACAGCAGCAACAAAATAGGACTATTTCGGTTTTACACTAAGCGCCATCTAATGTCAGGGAATGAATTTGGATGTTCACTTGGCTCATTGTCAGCAAAAATCGCTTGAGTGTGAAGTTGTGAAAACAAAAAACGAAGTCTGGCGTTTAAAATATGTTTAGATTTTGAAAAGTCATGTAGCGACTTGCAGAGAATTCCAGTCTTAAACATATCAGCATTCAGGTTTTGCAGGGCATTATGGTGAGTCAATGATGACGAAACATTCATTTTTGATGGAACTGTCCTTTTAACAGATTCAGGGATTATCTTACACAGTTTCCTCTTCCAGTCCCATCAGCTGTCTCCTGATCATCATCAGTCTGTCTGTGACATTGTGGATGTGTTGAATCCTCTGCATTAACTCTCCTATCACCTACAGAAAAATATAAAGCTCACGTTTTACAGATAAATGAGGCACACAAGGCTGCTGTTCTAAAGTCGGTAGCTGACACATCAGGCATCAAGCTTTCATTCACAACAACATTACATACTGTCAGCTTTTAACATGGTTCTCACCCTGACTAGAGTGGAGAAGAGGGATCGTGTTCCAGGGCTCAAGCTGATGTACGGGTCCAGCAGGTACTCATGCAGGTGAGGGTGAGGAAACACAGCTAATCTGGAAAGAACTGATGTCACCTGCAGGTTTAGCTCATATGGCTGGCAAAGGGAAACATACAGAATTACAGAAAATGTTATTCTTATTATTCATTCTTATTTAAGATACAAAAGTTATTCAAGATCAGCGAGTGATTTTCTCTTTGTCTTTTGTTATTTGATTAACATTAATAACGCAGACAGCTACAGGTACTGTATATTAGGCTGCTGTAACTTGAAGACCGAATGCATGGCATGAATTTACTGACACACATGGTTTTCGGCCAACTGTTTACATTCACTTAAGACAAACGACTGTGTTTATGTGGATACACAATGGGCATTTTGACATAATTGTTTGTGTATTTAATTATTTCAGCGCAATAAGCCTCGAAAGAGTACTGAATTCAGAAACATCTGCTGTCTGCGTTTCGGGTGTGTGTCAGTCAGCACGATTATGCTTTGAGTTCTATTGCTCACAGCTTATTGCACTTAATAACTCTTTAACATCATGCACGTCCAGCTTTTATTTACTATGATGATGTCTTTATATACCACAATATAAACAATACAGCAAAATCTACAGACTGTCCAGCCCTAGTCTGGGCAATGGGGCAGGCTGGCAAAGACACAAGCCTTTTCTGACCAAAAAATTACATCCAAGCCCTGCTAACTTTCGCAAAAACATAAGCACTGATCGTTCAGAAATTTAACAGACCGTTAAAAAAGAATGGGAAAATTGGTAAAATATTACCCCGTTAAGATGTGTCAAGCTGATGACACCTTTTCAAACAGACTGACAGCTGTAATACAATCAAAGGGTGATTCAACTAAGTTTTAGTTCAGGGGTGTGCATATTTAGACAGGTTTCTTTTTTCACTGAAATGTGTCACTTTGGTTTTCAGTGGCATGCATATGGTTATAATTTTTACATTAGACATGCAAAAGTTCTGATATGATTTTTCTTTGTTTACATCACCAAAAAAAAAAAACAGCTGCTTTAACCAGGGTGTGTAGACATTTTATATCAACTGTACACTGTGGATTAATATGCAAGTGATGTATATCAGTAGGATTTCAATACAATAAACATTCAGATTTTAGTTTTTCAAAGAAATTTTGTTTTATTTCTCCATATCTTTTTAGATAACTGGTATTAATCTCAGACAAGTTTGTTTAAGTCCCCCTGTGGAGAAAATCAAGCTTTTAATGTTGTTTATATGTCTGTCTATGTGGCGTTTTAATATGCTTTAAGACAAACCAGGTCTCACAAAGTCAACACCAACAGTATTTTCTCCTTAAAACGGCAGTGAATCAAAGACAATCTCAAAAACGGGGTTTGAAATTGCTGATGTTTCTGACGTCACAAACAATTTAACCAATCACGTCAAAGTGTGATCATCAACTAAGTGGATCTCTGACCTGGCGTGAGTGAGTGGAGGTGGGCGTAGTTTGCATATTCATAGAACCGCGTATACTAAATGAGGCAAGGGTGTGGTCACATTCAAGCTATTTTAAGGTGTAAAGACTCTAATGACCTGTTAGACATGTGGAATTTGCATATAATAATTAATAATTGATAATTAATAATTATTCATGGAGGTTTGGATCAGATCAGGCTTAGATGTTATTAAATCTCCCTATAAGGGATGATATGTTACCTGCATCTGCATGCATGTGTAGCTCGGCAATCAACCACAATTAATTGCATAGATCACGTTTTACAGAGGGATAAAAATGAGCTCAATTGTATATCAATATTCAAACAAAACGTATTATAATTAAATATTAATATGTCAATTAGGTCTACATATGTTTACTCCGACCGTATCCCTGTGAATTAATTTGTGATTGGAAGAGTGAGCACAGCGAGCTGATCATGTGATCATTATCAATTCTGTGAGAATACTTGAGTGAGACAGGAAATGAAATTTCTGGCCGTGAAGGTAACCCTCCTGTTTTCACAAAGGTTGCCTGCTAAAGTTAACTAAAGTATTAAAGCTTGTAGCTAGATTGTACACTTTAGTGACCTGGATATGAGCAAGAGACATGAATCAATCGATGGAACATAAATGAATTTAATAAAGGCAAACTATAGGTACAATTACTAAAATTGTAGGCTACACCTAAATAAAACGATAGACTGAGTAAACTAAGTTTTGTGAATAGATAAACAATAATAAAACAATAACTTTAAAAAAACATTTATTCAGTTATATTAAATGTTTAATCAGGAGAAGACCATATCACAAAAGCTATACAAGCAGCAACTCTTATATAAGTAGAATAGAATAGAATAATACTACTAAAAAAAAAATACCATTCAGAAATGTTTTGTAGGAGCCGTATTTGGGGAGGTTCTGCTCGACTCTCTTTATCGCCGCTTTCTGGGTCTGATTCTGGATCATTATTTACATTTGACAAGAACACTTATGCAACTCTCGCCCGTAAAGGTAATGAGCGTGAAGTTAGACAACATGCACTCACAGTTTAGCCAATCACAACACACCGGCCTAAACTAACTAATCTGAGCCCATTGCCTGTTTCTGAAGGAGTGGTTTCATAGAATCACGATGTAAACCGGTCGTTCAAATGACAGAGGAGAAAGCAGCTTACAATAAAGGTGACATTTATGAAAAATAAGACTTTAAAAAAAAGAAAAATCACAAATACATGTTATATTTTAATACATGTTAAGATAGGAACCTTGGAGTTGTAATTGATGATCAGTTGAAATTCACAGACCACATTGCTAGAACTGCCCAGTCCTGCAGATTTGCCTTGCACAACATTAGGAGGATCAGGCCCTTCCTTACAGAGCATCCTACACAACACTTTGTCCAAGCACTTGTTTTATCCAGACTGGACTATTGTAATGCTCTCCAGGCTGGTCTTCCAGCTTGCTCTGTCAAACCTCTACAATTGATCCAGAATGCTGCAGCCAGAGTAGTCTTTAGTAGTCTCTCCTCACAAAAGTGCACTGATTGCCAGTTGCCGCTCGCATCAAATTCAAGGCACTGACGTTTGCCTACAGAACAACCACTGGCACTGTTTACCATGACTGTTCCCTGCTGGTGGAATGATCTGCCAAACTCAACCAGAGCTTCTAACTAAGTCAGTAGCCACTTTCAAGAAACTGCTGAAGACGTATCTTTTTCAGCAGCACTGGATTCAGTAGTACTAACACTTTCTCTTCTCTGCTATTCTCTTTAAAAAAAACTGCATTAATATTAAACTGAGAGTGGTTACTTATAGCACTTACGTATTTTTGTCCTACTGTTTAACTGCTTCTGTTGTTCTCATTTGTAAGTCGCTTCGGATAAAAGCGCCCCATAAACACAATCATGCAAAGAAAAAAAGCAGTAAAGCACCCTTTTTAAGCAAGTCACAGCTCTCATGCATTATGGGGAGGAAGAAAGATCTTTCTGAAGTTGAAAAGCATGAAATGGTGCAATGTTATGCAAAAGGCATGAAAACAACTAAGGCTACGTGTACACTGCAGGGCTTAATGCTCAATTCCGATTTTTTTGAAAAAATTAGATTTTTTTGCAAGGCCGTTCACAATTCCAATTAAATACAACCTTTTGTGATCTCCTGTGTGAACGTGAACGTGAACGTGAAATGACCCAGAAGTGACCCGCATGCGCTGAAGAGTACTCAACGGTCAATGACGTCACTTGTTTGTGGAATAGTTCTTTTTTTTTTTCATATGTTGCGAGCTTTTGTTTTATTATTATTATTGCCACAGCCCATATACAAACACAGACAAAAATTATTTTATCGACGGGCAAAGTTTGCACATAAATGTAAGATTTTTCCGATCCTCACCGACCTCGTCATAAAACCCGTTTAAATGATAGTACGCGTCCTCGGCGCTCCTTGCTTTGTCGACGGCGGCCGTGGTGCGACACTGGTGGCTGGTGTTGCCAGATTGGGTGTTTTTTCGCTACATTTTAAGGCATGTTTACATGTGTTTTAGCCAGGTTTTCGCCTGGAAGGCTCTATAGAAATCTGGAACCCTACTGTACGAAGTTAAACTGACAGAGAGCGCGTGTTCACAGACACCAGAATGAACGTGTTCACAGTAATGTTCATCAGGCAGTAATACAGTATGTTCAGTTCATGTTCGCCCAAAATATGAACGCGTTCATGCACTATCTTTCATTGAACACGTTCAGGCACAAAACTGGGGAAGAGACACGTCTGCGGCGGCCCATAACAGTGCAGAAACGTGTTGGAGTTGGAGCGTAATGGCTAGCTGGTGCGTGCAATGACGTGTGGGTCGGATATATGTGACTTGGCCGTTCAGATTGAATTTCAAAAGATTTCAAAAGATTGGATGCATATCGGATTTGGACCATATACCCACGTGGCCTGGGTCGCATTTGATTTGTCGTTCAGACTGTCATGAAAAAATCAGATACAGGTCGCATAGGGGCAAAAAAAAAAAAATCGGAATTAGGTCGTTTCAGCCTGCAGTGTGAACGTAGCCCAATATTGTGTAAAAACTAAATGGAGATTATCAAACCATCATAAGATTTGTGAGTTATTTACAGCACAAAGGAACTCGATCAGATAAAGGCTTATTAAGGAGAGTTTCTATCAAAACATTTTTTAATGTATTAAAAGGACATCTATAAAAAAAACACTGTTGAGCAGCAAACAGATATTTGAAGCTGCTGGTGTCTCTGGAGTCTCAAAAACCTCTCCATGCAGGCTGGCAGTTATGCGTAAAGTTGCATTTCAGCCACCTCTAACCAAAGCTCACACAAATACACAACTCATTTTTAAATAGTTTTATACACAAATGAATGCCATACTACAATGGATGGTAGATGGATGGATTTCTGTATGGTATGAGTAGCCACCAAGTTCCAACAAGACTGTGACATCAGCAAGGAGCTAGCGGGTGAGGATTTGGGACGGAATGTTGGAAAGTGAAATGGAAGGTCCCTTTAGGGTCTCTGAGGATTTCAAAGTGACTTTTGCAAGATACGTGTTCATAACCATAACCATGAGTTCATAACTAACCATTTCTTCTATGGTATAAAAAGAAAGATAGTGCCTTTTCTGCAGGATTTTCCTTCAGGACAATCCACTATCCCATGCTGCAAAAAACACCACTGCAATAAAACTGATAAAAAATGTATTTCCACACCCACTGTCATGGCCGTGGGAACTAGGGGTGCTGAGGGTGCTGCAGCACCCCCTGGCGACAGCTGTTTCACTACATTGAAATTTAATATGACGTGACTTTAAATAACTTTTTTTTTGTTTTTTAAGAACACCTTCTATCTTTATAAAACGACTCTAACGATTATTTCATTTCCATATGTTGTCAAATATAGTTGTATAGAAATAAATATAGGCTGCCTATCATAAGGCAAAAGTCGATATCGCATGGAGTGAGTGACATGACACTGGTTGAGGTCCAGCATCTCAAAATCGATTTGACACTCCATTTATGCATGTGAAAAAACTAAATATAGATGTCTTGATTAAAGCATTCTTTGGCATTAAGGGCTGTTCACAAAGAACGAGTTTTTCCATTACCCTCTGCTACTGTTCCAATGATTTTCACTGTGAACGCGCTGTTGCGCTCGCGTCTCGCGAACGAAACCTCATTCTCAAAACGCGGCACTCAAGTTAAAATAAGTTTAACAAAAATGCACCTCGAGATCTTTCATTCCCCCAAATTCGCCTGTATGTGCTGTAATGGTAGTAATGTAATGGTCAAGTAGTAGAACATAAGACTAACGTGCAAGAGTTTCTGAGTTCTAATCCACACTGGCATAGTTATTTTTTTCCCCCCTCATTAAAACCGATTATGTTTATCAGTTGTTGTCAAGCAGGGACATGACAACATTTTTGAATACATTTTACTTTGTGTTTTCACCGGTACGAATAGAGATTTCTCCGCAACTGATCAAGCTCGTGTCCGTGTGAATATGTTCCTTGTGGCAGCGCGAGCCACAAGAGAACACTTTATCAGCACTGAGTCAACGAGTAGCTACTTTTGATCACACATTTCAGCGTGCTATTTCTCCTCTTATTTAACAAATGAATGTTCTGCTAGACTAGTTAACCGGATATGTTTTATTTATTTGTATTGGTACATCCGTGCCGCGAGATGTTTAAAAGTGCTGGGGACAATATCGACCCTGGCAAAAAGTGGTGGGGAAATTCCCAAATAATAATTATTAATAATTATAATAATAATAAAAGGTGTTTCTTTTTTTTGTTTTTTTTTTGCGTCAAAATATTTCTCAAACGGCAGTGCCCCCCCGCTGATGACCCAATGCCCCTCCAGTAGATCTGCTCTGGCGCCGACTCTGTCAAGCCACGCCCATTAAGCCCCGCCCCCAGCACCCCATGATAAAATGTGTTCCCACGGCCCTGCCCACTGTAAATGATTCTGTTTGTGAGCTTTGGTTAGAGGTGGCTGAAATGCAACTTTACGCATAAGTTAACTGCCAGCTTGCATGGAGAGGTTTTTGAGACTCCAGAAACACCAGCAGCTTCAAATATCTATTTGCTGCTCAACCGTGTTTTTTTTTTAATAGCTCCTTTTAAACAATTAATTTTTTTTGACAGAAACTCTCCTTAATAAGCCTTTATCTGATCGAGTTCTCTTGTGCTGTAAATTACTCACAAATCTTATTATAGTTTGATAATCTCCATTTAGTTTTCACACAATATTAGTTGTTTTCATGCCTTTTGCATAACATTAAACCATTTCATGCTTTTCATCTTCAGAAAGATCTTTCTTCTTCCCCATAATGAATTGGAACTGTGACTTGCTTAATAATGTGAAGGTTTCCATTTACACAAGTAGCAAACTATTTAACAAACCTGTCTGAGATTGATACCAGTTATCTAAAAAAAAAAAAAAACACTTTCTTTGAAAAAATAAAATATGTATGTTTATTGTACCGAAATCCTACTGATATGTCACTTGCATAATAATGTGGAACACAGTGAATATTCAAGTTGAGAGTGAGGGATCTTACTGAGAATACTCTACCTGCTCTAGTATGCGTGCAATCCTGTCGAACAAAGTTTGTAGGAAATGCCCTTCATAGAATTCTGTAGGTGGGTTGTTTTCAGTGGGTTTTGCAGAATCTGGCCAGTTCCAGTCACGTGAAAGAGCAGTACATTCGTTTAACTAGAGAGAGAGAGAGAGAGAGAGAGAGAGAGAGAGAGAGAGAGAGCAAGTGAGAAGGACAGTTTTAGTGTAAGAATATTTGAAAAATTAAAAAAGCAAAAAACACAGTTGATCGTAATTCTACATTCAATTTGACAGAGTAACTTGTAACACAAACAATTTGGTTGAATTTTTATTTTGTTTTCAGTGTGCCAACTCACCAGTTTGTGCGCATCATGAACGTATGTGTCATATCCTGCTCCCTGAACAAGATGGGATGTTTTTGCCTCTTGGGGCACTAAACACAAGAAGCTATGAAAATTAAAAACAAGTTAGAAATTCAAACAATCAATCACACGTTAGACATCCACTATATCAACCAGTCGATTTAACTATGATATTTGATCACTCTGAGATTATTGACACGGTCTAAATAAACAATCTTTTTTTTAATTTTATTAAAATCTAAATAAAAAATACAGTGAATATACAAAAAAATACAGTAATAAAGTAAAGTATTATTAATTTAAAATGACCATTTTCTATTTTAATATATTTTAGGTGATTTAATATATATTTTAAGTATATTTTATATTTTAATAGGAAGAACAGAATTTATTTTAAATATTTTCAAATCTTTTGTAACATTATAAGTTTGTCATTGCTAAATAAAATCTTTTTAAAAAGAAAATCTTACTGACCCCAAACTTTTGAACTAGTAGTGTGCGTGTGTGTATATATACACTACACACTAAAGGGTTTTCCAACTATTTGATCTCAAGTAACCCCAAATATGATCCCCTTTCTAAATAGACAGCTTGATATTTTTATGTACACAGATTTGTGAGTACAGACATGTAGCTGTGTGAGAAAAATATTATATTATGAAATCATATTTCCAAGTGATATTGTCATTTTACTAATGCATTTATTATTGTTTTTTTTTTTTTTACAATTGAACTAAAAATATTAATAAAATGTGTTTTTTGAGCCTTTATAGGTTTTGTTTGAAGATCTGCTTAACATTGTAAAAAATATGTTACAATACAGAAAACCAGACTGGGGACAAACTTTTTTTTTTTTTTTTTTACACAGTACTGTAAGGGTAGTATGGTTATGATGCTTCTATAGCTTTTGTCCTTCAAAAATTCAGTTTTTATACAGAGTACGTGAGCGAAACAGAGCATTTCATAATTTCAGCATTTCATAAATATGCCAGTGCTATCCGCTCACGACCCAAGCAATTGCTCACTGGTGAAATGACGTTTGCTCAAATCCCGCTGCGACATGAATTTTCTCATTACTACATGTCTTTCTCTGAATTACGTTAATGCCTCTCAATTACAGTAGGCACCAGTTATAATACGCCTATTTGTTGCTTTAAAGCAGGGGTCGCAACAGGCAGCAATAATTTCTGGCCCACGGGCCAAAACTGGCCCGCCAGCAATAATATATGGCCCGCACTGCAGATATCTGTGGATCGCTAGACACACCTCTAAAATAACCGTCATGAAATGTCTAATATTATTTTAATGCGTCTCTATAGCACGCGTTGTTTATCGTGCAAATACGTTTTTACGTTCATATGATAAGCAGTTTTTCGCATGCATTTGATACGCACTTTATACACACGCACCCAACACCACTAAACATACCCATAAGTATCATATGCACGTAAAAACTCATTTTCACGTATAAATTGCACAATACAATGCATGCTGTAGAGACACATTTAGTGTGATTGGGTTGTCGTTGCAGATAAGACACACCGGCTTTGCATTTTCAAAACTAGGTAGGGTGAACGCATAGTTGTCTTTTCATTATTCTTTGTATGGCTATTTTCGCTGTCAACTTTCCTCTTTAGACTCTTTGATAATGTCATTTTCTCTCACCAGCTAGCTTAAATGTTAACATCACTCTACACACGACATAATAGCGTACCTCCAGCACGCAAACAATAAAAAAATGCAGTTTAGTATGCAAGGATGTCGAGGAATAATTCTAAGTTTAAAAGTAGTCTACATCAAATAATTATTATAATAAGTTAGACTCCACTGTGTAACAACAAGAAAATTAAAATAATACACATTTATTATTCATAATATGGAAAGAGGAAATAAAACATAATTTGTTAAGAGCATGACTCAAAAGTGCCATTAATGGGTTATTTTTATCCATTCCGCATCTTCCACATGAGTGTTTTAACAAGGCAGGATGTGTTGAAAGATGCCGCAATATATCGGGAGACATGTGGGTCAGACATGATTTTGACCACTTCATTAAGTTTTGTTTTGTAGAAATCCTTTCTAACAATTTAATTTTGTTTCATTTGCATATTATTTTTAATCAATGTTTTATCAACCAATTGCCTGGATTTAATAAATAAGAAGCAAATATAGCAGACAACATAATCAGGACATGGAGGCTCCAGTGCAATTGTATTGCTCGTGAACTGGAGCTCTTCTCATAAATGAACCGAAACTCAGTGTTTAAGCTGCCTCACAGACACAAGAAATATATAGAAAGCTTAAAAATATCTAATTTTAAACAAAACAATATGAAACGACAAGAAACCGACTACTCTCTGCTTATGTAATCCATGTGAAAAGTGCATTTCTCTCTATAGACCATTTCACAAGATGTAAACAACAATGGTCCAGAAGCACTTCCTGTTTCAGTTTTTTAACACTAAATAAAAGCTGGGATAAAATACAACCAACATAACATTTAAAACTGAATCAAAAAGTTAAACAAACATCTTTAAGATGTTTTCTTTACATGTGAAATAAAGAAAACTGAAACAGGAAGTGTTTCTGGACCAGTGTTGTTTACATCTTGTGAAATGGTCTATAGGCGTGTTATTAACTACTGTGGTCACTATTGCAGCCGACACAGTCACTAATAAACAATTAAAATGTCTCCTTGCTATATTTGAAACATTCATAAGCATTACTTTTGCCGGTTCCTTGTGACAGCTTTTGTGTTATTGGCAGCGTCATCCTCTGGTTACATGAACACGGAGTAACCACCACCGAAAACATTGGGATTTTTTTTAGACAATAATCGCACAACCTATTCGATATTCTACAATTAAATCAACAAATCAAATATTCGAAAATCGAGACTCATCCCTACTGCTTTATTAATGCATCCAGTGTAAAACCCGGACAAGCAATATTATATAAAGTGGTATAATCAAACATGACATGGTGAATTGCAAACATATCCACATGGATATGATCAGATGCTTTCTTTACTGCAGTTTATTTTTCTAGTATATTTATTTTGTTATTAATTGGAAAGTGCACGGCACATATTAACATTTTCATCTAAACGGCTCTCTCAGCAGCAAACCTGTATATACAGTATTTCTTTGACCTGCTGAACTCAAAGTAAGATATTTTGAAGAATGTTAGATGACATTGATGACGACTTCTGGAGTATTTTTTTTCCATACTACCCAAAGGGCATTCTGGGTTGAGCGAGTGAAGCAGAATCTTCAAAAAGGCGCTCTCCACTCCGGAGGAAACATTATCGCACCACTCACATGCTGTTTTTATACTACAAAGTAAAAATTTCATTGTCTTCTACTGATACCTGTTGACGATGTCTGCAACTTGTGTGTGCGCACTGGGTTTTCGTCTTTCTCTAGCACTGGGCAGAGACAGAAGAGGCTCCTGGCCACTGAACCCACTATCTTCATACATGTCTGTGAAAAATGGATCCTCTTCCAGCTCCCTGATGGACAAAGAGAGGGAGTAATGAATGATGAGCCACTATGAGAAGTAAGAGAATCTGTGTTCAGTCTCTCTGCTCACTCAGACTCTTCCAGAACATCACTTTCGACTGCATGTCTCTCGTCCGCTGCCCCTGATCCAGACAGCCTGTAGCTGCGCTTCTCAAGATTACGCAGCACCAGATTGGTCAAGATGCTCCTGCTGGGCTTCTGTAAAAGCTCCTCGAAGAGACGCAATGTTGCAATACTGATCTAACAGGGAAAAAATGCGAGTTGTAACAAAGTGATGCTCTCAAGAATGCAAATGTATGAATCCTTTAATCTAGTTACCTCGTCTGAGATGTGGTTGCAGTGTTCAATAAGGCGGTAACGTAGAATGTGTGTATGTGTGTCCTGCTGCTGTTCACAATGTGTGTCATTTCCCAACAGAAACTGAACCAATTCCTCCAGGAGTGCAGGAGAACGTATGTGATGTACAGAACAGGACAGCAGAGCGGTGTGTACCAGGATCCCAACCTCTGACCTGGACATCCAGAGTTTAAAAAATCAGCGCCACTCGTATTCCTGTCATACTGCGAACTCACAATTCTTATGACAGCAGACAGCAACCTCTGAGGAAGTTTTGTGCTTTCTACTCACATCTGAAGCAGATGAGGCTGGATGACTCCTTTAAGCCACTGAAGGTGAATTGCTCTCGCCAGTTCAACACCAAGTACCTATAGGAAAAAACATATATAATTATGTGCAATATGTTTATAATCAATATGAGAGCATTTCTAAACCATAAAAAATACACTATTCAGGGCTCCAGACTGTGACCAAATGGTCGCATTTTGCGACCAAAAATTGAGAGTGTGCGACTGAATTTTACATCCAGTCGCACATGTGCGACCAGTAAATTTGCCACACGTTAAACGCATGGTAAAGCGTGGAAGGGGCGCATCAATGAATCCGTGACAAGAATAGCACGTGTAAACGTCTGTGGGAAGGAGACGGAGACAAATATCACAACCTGATGTGCGTCTGAGCAATCAGCGATCTAGTATTGACTCGTTAGTCGTTACCAAGCAGCGAATGCAAACAAAATGAAAGTGGAACGAAAATACGCCACTCATATATGATTAGGACGGTGGAGCAGCAGCAGCGATCTGAACCATTGACAGTAAAATAAAGCCCCGAACTTGCCAGTCGCGGGCCGATCTCGCTCACCCAACAATGTTACTAGGAGATCCAGTGAAGAAATCCATTGCATTCGCCTCAGAATTAATAACGTCGACAACACGAGATCCAGTTTATAAAAGAGTTCTGTTATAATTTATATTTATAACTTATAAACCATATCAGATCAAACAGCGCTGACGTGGAAACCATGGAGAAACACTTATAGAAGGCTTTCAGTTCACAAAAAAGCCTAACAGAACCATGGATTTAGGCTAATGTAGTAAGTTAACTCTAACCATAAATATGATAATGTGTAAGAAATAGTCAAATGCTTACAAGTAGCCTACTACACATCTTTTCCCAGCACTTCAATAAAATATTAATGTTTTTTTTTTTTTTTTTTTGTATTTTTATGTGATTACCAACACATTTTTTGTTCATCCTTTAAAGATTGTCCTAAAACGAAAAATTAAGATGTTGGAAAACTCTTATTTAAACACTTAAAAAATAATAATAATACCATTGTAAACAGTAGGATGTTTATTGGCTATTTTCACTCCATATATATATTTTCACTACTTTTATTAATTAATATTAAGACATTATAAATGATAATAACTAAGTTAATTTCATCTACACCCTTAATTAAGCTTAGTGATTTATTGTCAGCCCCAGTTCTACCATCATTTTTTTTTTTTTTTTTTTTTTGTAGAACTCGCTGTGAGTTCTCATTTGAGGTGATGCTGCCCTCAACTTTGAGTCTGGAACCCTGTGAAGTTAAAATAAAACAGCATATCATAATGTTAAGTCTATTTATTATTAAAGAATTTGTCAGTATTACAGTTATTTTGGGGGAAATTTGAATAATTGCATTGCAAGCTGATTTAAGGTGTGCCCCTAAATTTTCTGCTTGCGCTCCTAACATTTTCAGTCAGGGGCAACAGCGCTTCTAGTAAAAAAAGTTAGTCTGGAGCCCTGCAATTAAACAGCGCCAATCTGTCATATACATACATTATAATGAGAACAATTTAGAATTCTTTGTGCTTCATTGCCCGTGTTTCAGTGCATTGTTACAGAAAGAGCACATCGACAATAGGATTAACACTTTCTGGCTAGCACGTAACTTAGTCCAAGTTCACATGCATTTGCAAGTTGTAATGTTACGCTTATGTTGTGTATCTAGGATTTCTGATTAATCTCATTTAGGATGTGTCATATAGAACAGGCTTCAATTTACTGGTGTTCATCCATTCTTCAGCTTCACCTCATGCTGCTACTCCTTTTAGATGTTTCTTTTTTTTTTTTTTTTTGATAATATAGCAGTGTGATTTTATATAGTTACATTTTAATATTTTGATATAAATGTTAATTTCATAATTTTAGTTTCATTTCATTCATTTTAGTAACAGTTTTTTTAATTAAAATATTTTAATGATCACCATGATGGACACACCCTACCCCCGAGTACTTGTTTTTGAGACCTATCAGTAATCGAAATGAAAAACTGACAAATTGCCTATCCCTAGACTTTTTCATAAATAATAAATGACGAAACGCAATAAACACGTTCATGTTATCTTGCTTTCGGAGTCATTTTGATGACAGTTTTTGACTAAGGCATCGGTCACATGACTTTTCTTGATGCGCATCAAGTAATTTATTTGGTAAATGTATTTCCATTATAGTTTATGCACGTTTTCTTATCGGATAGAAATGTAAAAAGTGTATTAATTGAGTGCATACTTTTTTTGAGCAATTTTTTTCACACATATTTTTTTATCTTGCCATTTCCCTCCATAATTTGTTATGCGCTATCCCGAAATGCACATACAAATGCATTGCTAATGTTTTATTCAGGCTATATTTCAAACTAATGCAGTTCTACAGATAAAATACACACATGGTTAACACAAATGAATGATTTTGTCAAACCCTTGGTGCTTCTTTGATGAGCTCATTGCAGTAGTCCAAAAAGCAGAAGAACCTGTGGACGTTCTCACTGCCAGGAAATGACGGGCTCTCATCCTGTGTGAACTGAGTCCTGCAAAGCCAACAACAGATCCCCAATAATTAATTTAGAATAAGAAGATAAGACATGCCCACAAATGAAGGATAAACAATTTAGCACTTCATAACAGACACACACCTCCACTGTACACTGGAGTAGCTGTGGATGTCTGCAGGGTCGAGTGATGAGGGTATGAGGCAGTAAAGTTCAGTCAGTCTCTGAGCGAGTAGGTGACATAGTGGAGTTCTCTCAGCCAGAAGATGTCCAGAGTCTTCCTGTGGTAAACTGACCAGCAACAGCAAACTCTCCATGGATCTGAGCACAACATGACTTTTCTAAGAGAGAGGGAAAGGGAACCACTAAATTGACCAGTTATCTATTTATTAAACATTTTAAAGAAAGACAAATCCCATCCAAATACAGATTAAGTGACCATGAGCTAGAGATAGAAAGGAAGACATCGACAAGCATGGACAGAGAGAGAGAGAGCAGAGGATCTGTAGAGACTGTGATCTACAGCACATAGATGAACATTTCTGCTCTTCTGTTTGAAATATACTAATATAAGAGAAACTTTTCTGCCCAGATTTGAAACCTTGATTCCATCATTTTTTGAACTGAGTGTCAAAGAAAAAAATGTCCTTCTTACTCAGAGAAAATGATATTACAGCTGCACTAGCGGCTAAATATGTGTTTGCGATTCACAACGCCAGAGACAGTTGATTCTTTTGAGACCCACTGTCTTTATTCATTTATTAGGATAGATTGTGCTGATTTATCTATTTATTACTATGCCACATATATGACATGATCTACATATATGTTTTGTTTGTTTGTTTGTTTTATTTATATAATATGTTGATGCTTTGGCAATATTGTGTTACACAGTCATGCTAATAAAGATTTAAAATGAAAAAAAAAATGAAAGGGAGTCTCATTAAAAACAATGATTCTGAATGTAAAGTTGACTGAGCTTTATGGCCTATTCACACCAAGTCTGATCCAATAAATGGCACAAAGGTTTACCGATTAGATTTTACACAAAAAAATGAAATTCATTAGCTTTAATGCTCAACACATCAATGAACCATAAACTGTATTTTTACAAATATATTGGAAACAATTGTTCTGGTTATTATCTAATGTGGGTCTATATTTTTATTTTATTTTTTGTATTGCAAACACATTTTTCATCATATGTTGAATGCTTAATTTGATCTCAAAATTTGGTGACTCTACTATATATGCAGTCTAAATGTTAAAAATAGTGCTTTAAACTGTAAAAAAAAAAATTAGCACAATTTATTTTTAACAAGTTTTTTTGTTTTGTTTTTGAATGGAAACCACAGGGGCCACAATGCAATGCCGGGGGTCCACATAATATTTTTTTAAAAATTATTCATTACCAAATTAATATTACAATTGTGAAATTATTTCATCCTATTTCTAAACTAGTTTTTAGTCCTAGCTTTTAGTTTTTAACAGTAGTTTTATGAAAAACTTTAATTATTAACTGTTAAAAACCCTTCTCCTAGAAATGTAATTATTTATTTATTTTTCAGTAAATGTATTCAGCTACACCATAAGGGTGTAATTGTAATGCATTGATCTTTTTTAAATTAACTTTAAAACTTGGTGTGAATCAGCCTTTGGGGTACCTCTCCCCAGTCATGCATTCGGTTTAGTTACACATCCAATCTGTCTTGTGTTTGTTTTTTTTCATGATGAATCACCTCACTTTTCACCAGGTAAATGAGTACAGGGATAATGCCTGTGGCTTCCTGGGGTGAGCTGGAAGAGTCAGAACTGGCAGAAGGCGACAGTGGAGAGGGAGCCATCTCAGGACTGGAGCCCTTCTCCACAGCCTCACCAGAAAGAGAACTGGACTTCTTCTGAGAGTCTTTGGTAATCTTTGTGATAGAAATGTGGGTGTTTGTTATCACTTTTAAGATTCACAATCTAAATCAGATTCAATCTGAACAACAGTCAACACACTCGTGTCAGAAGACACAATGAAGAAAGTACCTCAAGGATATAGTTGAGGACATAAGGGTCTTTTTTGACTCGAGTGCAAACAGCAAGGAGAAACTGAGACTCCTCTTTTTCCGTCTGTGAATCAGGGAGTCCACACAGATGAATCAGTTTCTATAACAGAGATTGACAAGAGGGAATAAATTAGACATTATTTTCCACATCAGAGAGTGTAATGCAACCTAATTTCCTTTAAAATATTGGATGCTTCATTTCATAATAAATTCCAAAATGTGGTGAATGTTTTGCTCTCCAAATGTTAAAAATCAACACACTGGCTTTAATGAAAAACATCATGGTGCTTAAATGTGTACAAAATTCAAACATGAATAAAAAATAAATAAAATCTAATTATTTTTAATTTCCACTTAATGATATAAAAGCTAAAGCAATCTTCCACCTAAAAGACTGACATTATTTACTTCCACTACTATTCAAAAGTTTGGAGTCAGTCATTTATAATGTTACAACAGAGTTCTACTTCAAATAAATGCTTTTCATGTGACAGCAGAAACATCATTCAGCAATTGTTTTCAATACTGAGAATAAGAAATATTTCTTGATGATCCAATCAGCTTATTAGAATGATCAATAATAATATTATTTATGATATGAATAATAATAGTTATAATAATAAATACTTATTCACAATAGTTTTTTTCTTATGGTAAGCATTTCGAAACTTCCATAATTAAAAACCCATATTTATTTTTTTTAGGACAAAATGTCGTAGTTCTTTTCCATACAATAAGAGTTCCTACTGAACATGTCTTACCTGTACAGGCCGATAGACATTGATTAAATGCAGCACAGGTTTCGTGATCTGGCTCAGGACTTTAGAGAAAAACAGCATCACTTGTTGACTCATGCCAGGAGGATACTGTACAAATGTATAAAGCAATATTTCAGTTTCTTTTTAGCTTTAAATATTTTTAATCTGTGTCTTGAGTCTGTGTCCTCATACCTGTGCTTTTCCCAGCGTGCAAAGTGTCTCTAGTATTTTGTGCTGGAGCAGATACTCCATGCAAGGACCCGTTTCCTCCCCTTGCTGTTTCTCCTCATACACCAGGATGTCCAGCATCTGTCTGAGCCTCCAAGGGATGTCTGTTTGCTTCACCGGACGAGACTCATCTTTGTACAAGAGACAAACATGCAATTTAAACTTTCGTTTAACTACTTTTCCTTTCCTCTTCATGAATTTTTCTTTATTATTTTCCCCCAATTATCTAAGATTGAAGCATGGCATAATTTTCAGTTTCACTGTAAACACTCAAATACATGAGTAAGCTATTGCTTAATTTGAATTTGCACTTATAGTTTTACCTGAAGTTTCAATGTAATAGTTGGTTATTGCTTTCCAGTGATCCACAAAAGAGTCCTGCAGGTTTATCGAAGGCTCCCTCTATAAGAATCAGAACAAGAGAAACACTTTTATAACTGCAATTATACTTTCATTACTGTCATTAATTGTATATGATCATTTAACACTGATTCCTGTAAATACATAATCATTAAAGTCTTAAAAAAAATAAAGTCTTGTAGTAATAAGCAGAGGACAAGGTCAAATTCATTATTTTTATTTTACAAACACTACCATTCAAATGTTTGACAATTATATATTTTTTTCCCCAAAAGACGTCTCTTATTCTGATCAAGGCTGAATGAATTTTATCAATAATACGAAATAGTGAAACAGTAAACATTTAAATAACTTTTTTCTATTTTAATACATTTTAAAACATAATTTATTTCTGTGATGACAAATTTGAATTTTCACATTACTCCAGTCTTTTTTGCTGCTCAGGAAACATATCAATATCATTATCAATGTTAAACCATTTTGTGTAAACCGTGATAATTTTTTTATTTATTTTTTTTATTCATATATATATATATATTTTATATATATTTTATTTTTTTTAAGTTTTTTTTTTATTCTTTGATAAATAAAAAGTTCAAAAGAACCGTATTTGAAATATAAATATTTTGTAACATTATAAATGTCTTTACTCTCACATTTGAACAATTTAAAAATCCCCAAACTTTGTTATGCCACTTGGTTTGATATAGTGTTATAATGCCGATGCCAATGCATTTTAAGTGTGGCTTACGTCTTCAAATATGATGTTATGCATGCATGATGTCAACCTTTTTTAAGCTTCTTCTGAGGACGTTTCTTTCTCCTGTCAGAAACTTGTCCACACCCGCGCATGCATATCTGCACCTTCCACGTGAACACATTTTAGACAAACCCAAAAGTGTATGGCGATCAAAGAAAAACTCACATAAATATCCACTAACTTAATATCAATGGACTTAATAAATAAAAAAATACAGCAAATCAACGCAATCTATTGATTAGTGTACAGTCCTCAACTTCTAGCACGCAAGCTACACTGACGACAATGCATCTTCATATAAAACACTGAAATGCGTGACAACAACACGTTGACAGTCTACCAAATTTCGTTTATGTACAGCAGCGTTTAAAACACTTTCATAAAGTTTTACAGTATCGCGCAACATGTGTCTCGAGATATTTTTTATACAATAGCTCGGCTAAGCTAACAGGCTAGTTTGAAAACATTCAAAAGTCGATGTTTACTTACTGTTTCCAAAGCCTGCTGCAGAAAAGCCGTCACTTTATTAAAGACGTCCATAGCTGGATCCCAGCAGATCTTAACCAATTCTACATTACGTTTTGGTCATTTTTCTAAAGTTATTTAGTGCTAGTGTAGTTTGTAAACATTTATGTGGCTGCTTAGCTTGAGCTTTATCTGCCTCCAGTGGCGAACACTGACCCCCACTGTCATGATTGCGCGAAGATTAATCGGACATCTTCTTGTTGTGTAAAGTCTAGAAAAATTGAATTTCCTCATATAACATCAAGCCAATCAGGTTTTATCACTAATGCGTCATCACAACTAGTTGTAGAGATCCTAGTTGTAAAAATCCAAATTAATAAAGCCATTTGATTTCATGGAGTGGAGGATGACGTCTTCATTTATTTTACAGTGATCATTAGCACTATCGTTCTCAAACAACGTTTAAGTTACCCTATTAAAGTTTATCTGCACTGTCATGTGCTCATTCGGACTGAAATAGTAAGCATTAAGAATAATCTATGGTAGGCCTAATAAACAAAATCAGACAACAAAATAAAATAAAGGAACAAAATTCAATTCTAAACTTTCCGTGATTGACTTCACTTTTCCAATGAACGGCAAAAACAACGGTAATTTTACCCTGATATTTTAATTACATTAATTCCCACATTTATTTTAAATCAAATAACACATTTTGATCACAATCAAAGAAATACATTTGAATTAAATGCCTATGTTTTTAATTGAAGTGGTGTCAATTGCAATAATCTGTGGATTTATTAAATCATTGTATTCAGCACGCGAGCTCATTGGCTACTGATACAGCAGGAACCAATCAGCTTTGTCCTATATTGATGATGTGATTGTTGACATATTATGAACACAATAAAACTCCAAAGAAACCATCTGTGGAAAAATACAGTACCAACCACCTAGACCCAGCAACACCATAGCAACTAGCCAGAACAACCTAGTAACTGATAACATTTTCTTCAGGAAATGTAAACTCTAGTAATTATTGTACACAGGTTCTAGTCTCATTATAGATTTATGTTTTAGACAGGCTCAACAATGCACTGAAGTTTGCAACCATGTCGATTTTTATGTACAATTTTGTTTTGAGAAAGCAGCAGCAGTTTTGTTTCAGTTCAAAGGTTTCTCATAGGCCGAGACTGTTTAAATGCATTTTTTTCAAAGGGCTCATATACAGATTAGGGCTGGGTATCGGTCAAACATTTTCATATCCAAACCAATACCATGACTTCAATACCGGTTCGGTTCCTGAACGATACCAATTTAATGAACAGATAATATTATAGCAGAGGCTAGAACATTTCTGTGAAGAGGGGGAGAAAACAAGAAAGCTTATTAGTGCAACGAGACAAATACTGTAGTTTCATCAAAAAGCATGTGTAATTAATTGAAATCATGAAACTTATCATGATAAAACAAATTTATTAACAGTGTAACAAAAAATACATTCTTAATGTCTTTTTCTTCAAATTGCATTTTCTTTTTGTTACTCAGTTCTGTGCTTTCTGTTTTATTTTGTCTGTATGGTTTAATCAGAAACATGTCTAAATAATTGAATCCATAAAAAGGAGCACTGAGTGGCACGTTTCCCTGATCCTCTTGATCACCTATGGTAACAGAGAGATCGGAGGGAAGCCATGAAGCGGGCAGCTGGGCCAGATTTGGCAGTGAGCGTTGTCTTTTGATGCAAATAGGCTGATTTCCGCTTTGCCGAACAGGCGCCATCATTTCTGGACTGTTTGGGGGTGCAGGGACCATTACCCTGGGGGAACGTTTTTTGGGCCGACGTTCAGATGGCCAGGCACATGCTCAGCTCTCAGCGAGCGCGGGTGATGCTGAGACCACATGAGGAGGCGCTCTGTCAGATCGCAGAGATTCCTGGATCTGACGCCGCCCTGACGGTTCACTTACTGTAGGACACCACTGACATGTTGTCTGAATGGACTAGAACATGGTGGTCCTGTATGAATGGCGCGTTCTCGACCGCTATCATTTCCAGACAATTTATGTGAAGGAGCTTCTCCTGGTCTGACCACTGGCCAAAGACCGGTCTGCCCTCGAAGAGAGCGCCCCGACCTGAGTTGGACGCATCTATCGAGATGACCTTTCGAAATGAGACAGCTCCCATCATCACTCCCCGCTGATCCCAGTCGGCCGCTAACCAGGGCTGCAGGGCCGTAATGCAGGTCTGAGTCACTCTGATTTGTTCGTAGCCAGAGGCCCAAGCTTGGCGAGACGTCCGAGCGTTCAGCCAGCGTTGAAGCGGGCGCATGCGCAGTAAGCCCAGCTGAAGCAGGCCATACAACCCAGCATCCTCTGAATGTCTTGAGAGGGATGCTGCTGCCCTTCTGGAAAGACACGGCTAGATGTCAAACACGCCACGCACGCTGTGTCGATAAACGAGCTGTCATGGCCACAGTGTCCAGTTCAATTCCTAGAAAGGAAATTGGCTGACTGGGCAGTAATAAGCTCTTGATCCAGTTGACCGAGAGACCCAAGCTTTCCAAGTGACTGAGGAGCACAATTCTGTGAAATAGCAGTTCTATCTCTGTCTGTGCCAAAATCAGCCAGTTGTCCAGATAGTTCATGATTCGCAAATCCTGATTTCTCCAGGGGACGAGAGCCGCGTCCATGCACTTCGTAAATGTACAGGGTGCTAGAGACAGGCGAACAGGCATGATGGTGTGTTGATATACCTGACCGTTGAAGACGAATCTCAAGAATGGCCTGTGACGGGGTATTATCTGAATCTGGAAATAGGCATCTTTCAGATCTAGAGTAATAAACCAGTCCCTCAGGCAAACGTGCGCAAGGATTTTCCTAGTCGTAAGAATTTTGAACGGTCTCAGATTTAAGATGGGTCTGAGGGCTCCGTCCTTCTTGGGTCCGAGAAAATAATGTCTGTAAAAGCCCAACTCGCTCAAAGAAAGTGGTACCAATTCTATGGCTCCTTTGCATAGCAGCTTAGACGGCGAGTGAACTGTAGTGAATAGCCCTGCCTTATTGTGCTCAGCACCCATTCTGAAACCCCTGGGATAGCTTCCCATGCTTTTTTATGTGTAGCTAGGGGGCAAATGGCCTCTGGGTTCTGATAACCGTGCTCTGCAGGCTCGAGAAACTGAACCGGCTTGCTGACAGCCATGACAGGCTGATGCATAAGTGGTGTCCCGATTGCCGTGAATGGGGAGCACACTTTTACCACTTTGTGTGCGAGCAGAGCCTTGGGCAAAGTGTCTATTAGTAAGTGTGAGTGCTTTTGCACGGGCACAAGACTCACATATTAATTTGACACCCTGATCGTTTTGGATGGGGAGTGTTTTATGATCGCCCTGCGTTTTGTGACAACTCTTAAATTCACAGGCGGTGCTCGGGGAGAGGCATGTGTTAGTAAGCGTGAGCGCTCGTGGGCTGGGCCACGTGCATAACCTGGTTACCTTCATAACCTGGCCCATATGAGTGTTTAGAGGCCGTGTAACAGAGCGGGCAGTCTTTTGTACCTCGGGCACTCAAGCAGCTTTTGTACCTCGGAGAAGTGGTCGACGATCCTGTTCACCGCTGGGCCGAAGAGACCAGTAGGGGAGAGAGGTTGAGAAAAGTGGCACGCTCAGATTAGGGAATGTCAGCAAGCGTCAACCAGAGGTGCCTCTCTGTGACGGTTAGCACGGCCATAGACCTTCCGATGGCTTGAGCTGCAGTCTTGGTTGGCAGCGCGGAGTGAGAGATCCGTCACGCTTCTCAAGTCAGTAAAGGCAGCTGGATCACGGAGGAGGCCGGCCTGTAGAATCTTAAGTACTCATCGAGTGCAGAGCAGAAGCGGCCTGTGCGGTGGCGGTGTATGCGTGGCCGACAAGGGCGGATGTGGGCTGTCTTGCAGGACGGATGTCTGCAGGGTTTAGACGGAAGGGGAGACCTTGAGCGCCATCTTGCGGAGGGTGGACAAAGGTGCGCTGCGACCACCTCCTTCACATGGGAATGGCCGTGAATCCTCTCTCGGCAGTGCCTTCCACTTGGGAGAGCGACGCGGAGAAATGGGATTGAAGCCTCATGGAGAAAGGTGCATTCCTCGACTTAGCCAGTTCTGTGTGGAGTTCAGACAGAAACGGTACAGCCCTGGTTGTGGTCGCTTGTCGGCGGCGACTGTGAAGAAAGCACCCGTCGAGTCTGTTCGATGTGGGCTCCTTTGGTGGCGACCACTCGAGCCCGAGTCATTTGACAGCCTGAGACAGAAGGCGCATCAGCTCAGCCTTTACTCCAGCACGGGTCCAGCCAGATTCCTGGATCGAGGAGGAGCAATGATAGCCCGACCACTCCTCGCTGTCTGATGCCAGGATAGAACAGCAGACCCTTGTGGTGTGTCCTTCGGCCTCGTCATCAGAAATGACGGCAGTGCGGGTCATGGGCGGCCTGCTCTAGGTCTGCTAGCTGCTGCTCTGTGTTGACAATGAATACAAAATTAAGGATAGTTTTTTGGCTTCAATATCTCGAAAAGATGAATCTTTTCCGTAGCGTAAGCAAACTTACGCAATACGAGATAACCTCTCGTAAGAGAATAAAGTAATAATAATTTGGCCCTATGAAATTTACATATTGTTTGGCAAACAAATGCTATACAACAGAGGCTTACTGTTAAAATTATAACATGGAAGAAAATTTGTTTTAATAATAATTGTACTATAGCATTACAATAAGATGTACATGATACTGTACAAGAGTAATATATTTCTATCGCAGTTTCCTTAAGTCAAACCAAACTTTTATTTTGGAAACCTGTCAAATACAAAACAAAACCCTTCTTCTGTTTTTTTTTTTTTTTATTAATGCCAAAAGAAAGAAAATGTAACAAATACATTACAACAATAACAATAAAACCCAGGACATAAGTCACGAAAACAGTACAAATAAAATAATATAAAGCAAGAGGGGATGAAAAAAAACAAACAAATAAGTTAATAACATTATATAAGGGTTAAACATTGAAAGTTGACTTTTTTATGCCCATCAAAGACAAAACATTTGAATTATAGTCTACCAGAAAAATTGACAGCAGCGATTAACAAAATTAATTTTATTTTGTTTGTTAAAAGATATTTGTGTGGAAGAGACAAGACTCCAATTAACATTGTATAACGTCGACGTCGTCATCCATATGAAAGATGATGCTGGAACAGATTTTCTGTTAAAATTGAATTTGTCATCAGTAATCAAACTTGAAAATGTTGAAATAGAAGTGTTATACAAAGAAATAGGGCTATAGGTTTGCTCTCCTTTCAAGAGAGCTTTTATAACACTAGGAATGATGTTGAATACTTTATATACTGAATATTTTATTCATTTAATGAAGCTCCAAAATCAATTCTTTTTTTTTCTGGAGAATTCTGAAATGGAATAAAACTGATAATTGTCGTCCATCAGCTGATAAACAATATAAATGTTATTTGAATACCATCTCTCAAAAAATATTGATTTATTTCTGTAAATAATATTCTGATTGTTCCAAATAAAACAACGGTGAAAAATTATCTTTGTAAACTAGAAACCACGATTTAGCAACCATTTGGTAATTTAATGGGTAGTTTTCCAAGTGAGAAGGGGCACTGTAACAAAAATTCAATGTTCTTTAATTCTAGATCTTTAATTTTAGCACACTTGGTTATGAATTTAACTGTGATGTGTTATTCAATATTGCATTTAAAGTTGAAGTAATTAAAGAAAAATGTAAGGAATTAAAAGTATGATGTATAAGAAATTTGATTATATTTTAGTTTACATTAAGGCTTGTCAGTACATACAGCAACCATTATTTCAAAAATTATAAAATATATAAAGATGTGTCAAATAAATGTTTGACTGGTTGCATTTAATATGTTAAGACAATCTCTAGAAAAGACTCTTTTTTTATTATTATTATTAAATAGTCACCTGTTTTTAACTTATATTTAGTTTGGATTACTTCTTTCAAAGAAAAAAGGTCCTCACTGTTACATTAACCTTGAATGAAATCATCAGAACGCACAAGTGTCATTTTTTTGTCACATTATGGCAACCATATATAAAACAATATCATACCATTTTACATCAAATTTACTCGACTGTATCTCGAGAAAACAAACAGACAAAAAAAGGACAAAGACAAGAGAAGAAATTATGCTTTATCCAGCATTGCTTAATTTATTGTACAAATACTATGCTCATTAGTGGTGTTTTTGTTCTCCACAGTTATCATTTGTACAGCAACATTAGGCCATTTTTATCATAAACAAGTTACCAAACTATACAGAAAAACCTTCCCTAAAGTGGGATCAATACCAGCAAAATCTCTTCAGCTGTAATGAGAAATCAATGCTTCATAAAAACATGGATAAACAACGTGGTTATGATTCATTATTAAAAAAGCTCAACACACAATACACTGCGTGTGGCCTGATAAACTGTACAGATGTCGATAAATTACCACAGATTTGTGAGTCTTGTAAAAAATAAAGAGGTAATTACTCTCCAATAATCAATAATCATTTAGCTATAATCATATTGTGTTTGATCTTCACACTGACGGTTCCTGATTTTAACCACGACAATGCCTTCCTGAAAACCGCAAACACAGTTTAGGTTGAGTTCAAGTGCAAAGTGATTTACATAAGGATAAATATTGTGCTATGAAGATAAACGTAAAAATCCACTTTATTTAAATGTGCCATTCTATACACATAGTTATTCTACCTGAAATGTTGGTGTCAAAGTCATCTTACATGTCTAAAGAAAAGTACATCAGCATCATCTCAACAAACATTTACTAGAAATGTAAAAAATATTTTGTAGTTGCTCCCTATTGATGTGAAGATGAAAGTTTGTATATGAACAGAATCTGGCGCTAAAGAGTTTGTTTGATTTTGGTTATTTTCAGCCCATTCTCACCCCCAAGGCTGACGCCTTGGGAACCATCATAGACATATACACTAGACCTCACCTTGGGGCTTTAAGCATGCGTCAAAACCGCCGCCATCTTGGAACAGGGGTCTTGTCATAGGAAGTAGCTAGGTAACGCTGCTATCTCTGCCTTTACGTCAAATTCATTGATGGTGGCGGACTTTTGTGCAGTGTATGATGTTCAGGGATGAAATCTGAACTAGGAAGAATGTTTTTGAAAAAAAAAAAAAAATAATTTTCTTTTTTGGAATCAATGATAAATACATGTCTGACCGTTGGAAAAAACCAAAAAAACAAGAAAAATCGCATTCATGATGATTTATGGTGATTTTATTTCCGTTAGACCTGTGTCTACTACATTGACGCTGATGCATTAAAGTGGAGGGGCTCCCCTGTTTCAAGATGGCGGCTCTATTGACGCATTCGTTCCAATGAACTGCCGTAGCCAAGGTGACGTCTAGTGTATATGTCTATGGGGAAGCATTTTGACCATGCTTCAATATCTGACGCTTCAGGCACCCTTTAGCGTTAGATGACGCCCTAGGATCGCGTGTACCCTACCCCCACCCCAGACCTAAACCTAACCGCGTCATCCAACTGACGCTTTCCCTATGGCGTCAGTTAGATGACGCCGTAGGATCGCGTCATGTAACTGACGCTAAAGGGCGCCTAAAACATCAAATATTGAAGCATGGTCAAAGGTGACGCATTGGGGTGAGAATGCGTTGTTATTTTCCTAACAGTACCAAGGACCCCAAAAAATAACAATGAACTTTAAAAATCCAAACCACTGCATGATCCACATGCTTGGAAAGAATATTATTTTCAGTGCAATATACTGACAATATGAAGGGAATGTGGGAGAGTCTTCTCTTTAACCTGAAGCTTTGGTTTCCCACTCCTACAAACACAAACAAAAAGAGGTTAAGGGTCATAGCAGTGTTATTTTACTATTCTGTATATACTATACATTTTTTGTAAATATTTTGAATTAGCTTTTATTTTTTTATTTTCAGTAATATTAATTTTATTATTATTATTTTTTTAATTTTGTTGTATTGTGCTTTTGTCAGTGTCCTTAGTTTTTTTGTCCTGCCAAATGGATTAATTGCAATAAATCGCATCTAACAAAAGTTTGTAAATATATAATAAATGCGTTTGTGTATGTGTGTGTGTGTGTGTGTGTGTGTATAAAACTTATATTAGATGTGATTAATCGATTTGAAAGACATTTTTTAATATTACCGTTTAGGTTTTAATAATTTTTATTTCAGTTTTAGTTGTTATTTATTTCCACTTAGTAATTTTACTTGCCAAGGTAATTTAGTTTGAATTCTAATAGTTCTAATATTTCAATTAACAAAAAATTGTTTTAGATAACAATAATAACCTCTGAGGAGAATTATGTGTTGGTCTTGATCATGTAATTTATGACTATTGTGGAACACAAAATATATTTAGCAGAATGCGAGTGAGAGGCTGGTGTTATTTGTCAGTTCATCCACTGAGTCATCGGGAAAACCAATAAAATCAACAAATCCATGTGGGAGGCTGTGCAGTGTCTTACCTTCCTCCTCTGGAAGACCTTGCCATGCTCGATAAACAGGGCAGATGGAGCTTTCTTTAGGGTGCTTTTTGCTGAGGCAGTTCTCCTCAAGAGTGGGGTCAGAAAGCCCCCCTTTGAGAGAAATAGAAAAACAGAGGAGAGTGTTCAAGACATTTCCTTTTATGGGGTAAAATGGTCAAATATCCTAAATGACTCAAACTAGAGTCATAGCTGCATCTAAAAACATTTAAAAGTCAGCAGACTCCTCCACTGAGGAACCATTCATTTGTTTGATAAAGTAGGGTGTTATGGTTAAAACAGCTCTTATCTGTGCGTTATTCTCTGCTCCTCTGGGAGGAAGTGGCTCCCAATCCAACCCAGTGTAATTACTGAACTCACAACAGCAATGACAATTGACAAACAGAACACCAAACAAGCCTTGCCACAAAAAAATAACAGCATAAAAACACCAGAAAACTAGCCCAAAATCAAACATCCTCATCTTTGTCTCATGTATTTGATCTTACAAATCCAAATTAATTTCTTGCAAAGTGTTACAGTTACACAATCCAAAAACAAGTGGGAGTCTAGCACTTTAACTTCAGCAGTTCAGTCATCTAGCCAGACCCAATGCCTTTTTAAAAGGCTACTATCAGACCTCACAAATAATACTATGGTATTATCATGTTTTCTGGGCATGTACTAAGATTACTGTTTTTTTTTCCTGACATTACTATGGTGCAAAAGGGTACTGTGGCAGCACCCACGTTAATGTCGTCAGATGATGTCATCAGATGCAAATGCCAACAAACAAGGATTTAGATAACTAAACAAACTAAAACAAAAACCTTTTTTTGTTACTTCAACAAAATAAACGATAATGGAAATAAAATATTTTTTTTTTAAAGTTTCTCATTTCCATCTACTTAAACTTGGTGTACAAAAATAAATAAAAGTAAAGCCAAAATAAAAATGAATAAAATCTACATAGAAATGTTGAAAATGTCAAAAATGGAAAAAAAAACAAAACAAAAAAAACAAAAACAAAACAAAATTACATACATTTTAAGTAAAATTTGAATGGAATATTTAAAAATTAAAACTAGTTAATAATAATAATAATAATAATAAAAACTATAGTAGTATGTCAATGGTACAAAATAAAACTGATATACTGTGTATATATATATATATATATATATATATATATATATATCAGTTTTATTTTGAAAAAACAACAACAAAACGTGGTATTACTGGTAATTACTGGCAATTTTACAGTACTACCATACAGTTCTTGTAAGTATGGTAACACCATGGATTTCCTTAAAATGTCTTGAAGTACCAAATACCATGATGCAAGAATATGGTAATCATCCAGTACCATGATATAATATCAAAATTCCATGGTATTATAATCTGATTTCATCACTGTATCATGGTATTGCTACAGTGCTTTTATGTGTAAGGGACAGTTCTTACCTGTGCTCGTTCAGTGCAGAAAGCAAGGGACCGTCTGAAGGAATTCCGTTTAGCTGGCTTCGTCCCTACGCTCACGAGGTTGATCTCTGACCCTGTTCGTAACTGCACACGACTCTTTCCTGTCAGGTCCAGCTTCTGCACACCCCTTTCATTCTCAAACACTTTTGTACCTAAAACAAACACACAGGGGATTGGTAAGCTTTTGTAATGTTTTGAAAGTCTCTTATGCGCATCATTTGATTACAAAATGCAGTAAAAAAAAAAAAAAAAAGTGCGTCTTCAACAACAGTTTAATAGCCAGGACTCAGGGCCTCCAAACACTAAAGTGTCCATCCAAAATGTCAGGTCATCGTGCACACCGAGCTGCCCAGCGCGAACTCCAAACTTCTCTGCCTCCTTTACTTGGTCCTCCATTAGTCCAACAAGAGGGGAAACGACAACAACTATCGGCTTTGCATCTCTACCGTTCGCCTTTGCTAATTCATTCACCACTAGCGAAGTAAGCAGTAAAATCAAACTTTTCCCGAACCCATGGTTCTATGAATATGCAAATGAGCCCCATTTCCAGTCACTCACACCAGCTTTGATGTGATTGGTTACAAGGTAGTTTGTGACGTCAGAAACACCAGCGATTTCAAACCGCATTGTTGAGACTGTCTTTGGTTCACTGCAGTTCCCTTTTGAGCCGGTCTCTCGTCACTGTGTCACCATTAGGTGGCACTGTGGGGTTATATCCCTCCTTCTTCGAATCTACTGAAGCTAGCAGCAGCGGTGCTTTTGCCTGGCCGATGCCCTTCAGGAGCAGTGCTATATGAGTCCGTCTGAACAAAAGAAACATCTAGAAACCTTCAGAAGGACAATAGTGCGTTGCTTGCCCTTCCTCAGAGCAGCGCTGAGCCGTGGTCTGTACCTGCCATGGCCTGCCAGAATCATGCTTTACCCGTTGCCCACAACACCCCCCCCTCCCCCTCATGTCGGCACAGGTCCCACATGGCACATGCATCTTTCACACAATACGCAGTCCCTCACCTCAGAGGTGCAGCCTACTGTGTACAGAAAAGCACTCACACAATATAAACAGCCCGCTGTCCCAGTGCAGTGGCCCGTCGTGTATGGTGTACACTTTCGCCAGGCTTTGTAAGTTAAATGTTCTGTGACGCTGTGCTTATGTGCATACTGATGTGATTACTGCTGTAATGTTGCCCTGTATTATTCAGTGCAACTTGCTATTCTGATCTGTGTCTGTTCACAGTTGTTGCCACAACGGCTGTTGATGCTGTACATGTACAAATGGCTATGTGATTACTACTGTTATGCTGCCCTGTATTCAGTGCAGCCTGATATTCTAGCTGATATGCAAATTTGTGTGTACTTGAGCTGAGCAGCTCATTGGTCTGGCCCTGCTTATCAGCTGAGAGCACTCCTAGAGGAACAACACTGTTGGCTGTTGTTCTACTCTGTGATTGGTGTAGCCCTGGCCTGGTATTTTCGGTCTGATCTTCACTTCTCACACGACGCGATTGATTTTGTTCCCACAGCGTCATGCTGATTCAATACTGAATTGACTATGCTATGCTATACCGCTACTTACGCTGGTGCTACACTATTCTCGCCTTCTATGTTGTCACCTTCACTGTACACCCTGCTGGCACTGACGTCGGCCATAGCCCTCATGATGCACTGACTATACTGCTGTTCCCAATGCTATGCATCTCTGCGCTCGCTCTTCATGACTGTTATCTATCCATGCCTCAGCCCCTTGCATAGAGCCCGAGCCATGAATCCAGAGATCATGGCCGTAAGGCCGGCTTTTGTATTCAGAACCTAGTTGCCTTTGAACAATTACTGTTCTGTTGTGCGGCCCCTTTTTACACCGCATGTTCTGGCTGTGCAGGGGAAGATGGCTGAGTAACCACTGGATTGTGTGAAAGTCTTCGTAGCCATGCCCCTCTCTGGCATGCGTTTCAACTAGGTTGTATAGACCGATGTGCAGTACCACTGCTTGCACTCTTAACTAGTGAATATGTAGATGATGCATTTATAACAGAGTCTTCTGTTTTCCATTGTTTCTAAGGATGCTATGGCTGTAGCTATCCTAAGAGCTGGTTTGAACGCCCGAATGAATGTCCATCAACTGAACGAACTGTACATTCATGAATGTTGAGTGCGGTTATCTCCCCTTTACATAAAGCCTTGTTTATATTTGACGTGTCCGCAAGAGTGCGCAGCAAAAATGACGTCATTGCGGTGTGGACGGTAGTACGCGTTGGGTGCGCAAAACCCCATATTGCCTGGCGGTGTGCATGGCACTTTTTATAACATCGCGCGCAGCGCTGCATCTGAAGATAAACGACTTTGAGCCGAATCTGGCCGAACTGGTACGACCTGTACCAGCATGTTTATGATCCTTCTGTACACAGAGACATTTGCATTGATGGGCGACCATAAAATCTCATTTTGTGAACAGGAACACATTTGCATTAAGCACCTAGTTTGCACTTGTCTAAAGTAATTGGTTACGTTTACAAAATAAGCCTACAATAGTAGAATTAAGCCCTGCTGGTAAAATTACCATGCTTTCAAGTGGACACATTGGGACAGACCCTCACATAGAGTTGGCCAAGGGACTTGATTATGTCAATGTGCCTGAAATATATCTGTTTTTGGTCAGACAGCCCCTATCAGAGGCCTTGTCTTTTGCAAGAGTACTTGGACGGCGACTGTACAAAAGTTGGGCGGCCCCTTCTACATGGCCGATTCGTACTGGGCACTCTGATCAGTTCTGTGATTAAATATCTCCTCCTTCATATTGTGAAGTTGCCTTGGATGAGGATCTACAATGCGAATTGACTTTGTGGGTGTTGTCAAGCAGGCCATGTGACTTATGACAGTTGTTCACTCCCCTGCTAGTGTTGTTTAACTATGTAGTTTAGCTGTTCGCAGTCTATTGTTACAGGCACACACACGGCCGCCTTCAGCACAAATGGTCACCCTTGTGGGTTGTATCTGTGTGCATTAATGCTGTAAAAGCACAGACAAGGAATCTGTCATCATTATGGTTCCCTTTCAGTCGTTCACTTTCGACGTAGTTGACATCGACTGAATGGGATGACACTTAGGGAGCCTGTTTATGATCCTTCTGTACACAGAGACATTTGCATTGATGGGCGACCATAAAATCTCATTTTGTGAACAGGAACACATTTGCATTAAGCACCTAGTTTGCACTTGTCTAAAGTAATTGGTTACGTTTACAAAATAAGCCTACAATAGTAGAATTAAGCCCTGCTGGTAAAATTAAGGTTTAAACACTCTCCAATAAGGCTTCGGTTGTTTAACTAGTTTACATGCAGTGAAAGTAGCCTACAATAAACCTACTGCATTTACTCTTTTATGAATTAGCAATTAATAAACTACTAATAAACGACAAACTACTTCTTCACTGCTGATTCCTTGTGGTTTAGAGGAGAATTACTCCTAGTTCGCCCCCTGTCGTTTCACAGAATAGCACAACGGCGAGCGCGACAAGTATAAACGCCTCGTCTGTTTGGAGAGGTGCGCGCGCAGTCAGCGGAGCCTCGCGCACGTGCTGACGCATCGAGTATGAATAAGGCTTAAGTGGAGCGCACGTTCTGGGTGATTGACTGATCATAGTCCATTCAGAGAGTGTATTAATCCATCTCATCTTCTGCTTTCCAGATAAGTAGAACTGGGCCTTGTTGGCAGAGTATTTTGCTATGCTCTCACAGACATGATGAAGATAGAGAGACTATCAGCCCTCTAATATCTGTTCTCACATCCCCCGCTTGCTGTGGGCATCAGGGACAGTTAAAGCCTGTGTGTCAGGTTCATTCCGCTGTGCAGTGCACGAAGTTGGAGATATTTATTGAACATGCTTTCAAGTGGACACATTGGGACAGACCCTCACATAGAGTTGGCCAAGGGACTTGATTATGTCAATGTGCCTGAAATATATCTGTTTTTGGTCAGACAGCCCCTATCAGAGGCCTTGTCTTGCAAGAGTACTTGGACGGCGACTGTACAAAAGTTGGGCGGCCCCTTCTACATGGCCGATTCGTACTGGGCACTCTGATCAGTTCTGTGATTAAATATCTCCTCCTTCATATTGTGAAGTTGCCTTGGATGAGGATCTACAATGCGAATTAACTTTGTGGGTGTTGTCAAGCAGGCCATGTGACTTATGACAGTTGTTCACTCCCCTGCTAGTGTTGTTTAACTATGTAGTTTAGCTGTTCGCAGTCTATTGTTACAGGCACACACACGGCCGCCTTCAGCACAAATGGTCACCCTTGTGGGTTGTATCTGTGTGCATTAATGCTGTAAAAGCACAGACAAGGAATCTGTCATCATTATGGTTCCCTTTCAGTCGTTCACTTTCGACGTAGTTGACATCGACTGAATGGGATGACACTTAGGGAGCCTGTCATCTTCAGTACTGTTAAATGAACCATTGCATATTGGTGAGCAAAATTTGTCTCTGGATGCACGCACCAGTTGTCTTTCGCTTCGGAGCCTATCAGTGTCGATATCTCTGAAGAGTGTTGGTTTTCAGTGAGTGAGTGTGTCGGTTTTCTTTTGGAAGACTCTCCTAGTGCTGGTGGTTCTTTGGTGTGATTGCAGCGATGATAGCAAGCTTCTGAGTTAACAAACTGCTGTTTTAACAGAATCATTTCAGTGTGTTTGTTGACAGTTGGTTTGAGGGCAAAGAAGTGAGTGCTTCACTGTTTCAGTTCACTGTTTAGTGTTGGCGCAGTCATTCCCATGTGTGCTCCGGCACTAATGATGGTGACCCATTTCCTGAAAGAGAAATACAGGTGTGTTTGTTTGCATCTTTTTCAACATGTCATTCCATCCGTGCGTTTCTGGATGCGGTCATTCTGTCACAATGGTTGCACATGGGTGAAAAAAAATAATTATATATATATATATATATATACATTCAAAACGCTGAAGCAGCTTTTGTGGATAGTTCATGTTCTCATTGCGAGAACATGACTATCGCAGTGTTGAGATCGAGACTTGCCTTCATGCGTGAAGGTGGAGTCCCCCTTATCATTATCACAGCGCTGTGTGGGATGAGTGATAAGAGGATCATAGTGAGGCTTCCCCACCCAGAAACCAATGCCTGTGGGCCTCTCACTTCTCTATCTCACTGCAGCCGGTGGAACCCCCCGTTCGGGCCCCTCCAGAGGACAGGATGCCAATTGCATTGTTGCCTTTCTTTCTCAAAGTGCATGGAGAGCTACCAGGTCGGGGACGGCACCTTTCTCTGTAAGAAGCTGTCTGAGTAGCTCCTCCCCCCTCACTATACTCCAGTGGAGCGGTCTGTCGCGACACAGGTGCATCTGTGTCCGTCGGTAGCTGCCTTTTGGATGGAGGATCCTCGTGTCCCCACTAAGGCCTGTAAGTTCTCATCCTTTCCGACAGAGAGAACTTACAAAACCTGTGGGCAAGACGCCTCCTCTGTGCATGCCATGACACTGCTACAGGTCTATCAGGCCAGGGCACTCATGGACATGCACGAGGGTAGCCAAGACTTTGCACTCATAGGTGAGCTCTGCACTGCAATTGACCTCGGCCTCCAGGGCACAAGCGTTGTGTCATGCGTGATCGGTCTGGCGATGCCCACTTTAGTGGTCCAGGAGTGCCATCGTTGGCTTAACTTGGTTAATATGGCGAATGCGGACAAGTTTCAGTTCCTGGAATCCCCAATTTCGGTGACACGGTGGAGAGTCATGTCCAACAGTTCTCTGCTGCCCAAGCGCAGATGGAAACGCAAGACCACTGCTGCCTCCACTAGCCGCCGGTGGCTGTTCCTCAACCTGTTCGTCTTTGAGGGTGTCCCCCTGCCGCCACTCCTGCTGTGTCAGAATGCTGCAAATCCAGGTGGCAAGCGTAAGGCCAATCATCTCTGATGCAGGCCACCCAGGGATGGGGGAACGAGCTCCTCAGATGGTTACTGTTCTGCCACTGGCTCTCCGGAGTCCAGCGGTACCCGACTCCAAAGAAAGAACAAATTCCTCTTTTCCTGGGTCCCAAGAGGGCCAGACTGGAGGTGTGACCCTGTAAAGCCTTGCACCCCTCAGCCCCCTTTTTTATCACCAGCCGGAAGCTGGGCGTGGTTCGAGGACCCGGTCACGCCTTCTCACGCACCTCCTGCCGTCACATGGAGACAGGTAAGTGTTGTGCACTCAGACCCTTCTTTGGGCTGCCTTCAGGCCTTCTAAGCCGGGTCCCTGTCCTCCATCCCGCTGACCCAGTTCGGGTATGTCTGTGGTACCTCTGGTTCCCTGGAAAAGAGAGAGTATAGCTCCTGTCTAGGCACTGGCACAAAGTGCCTCGATGACAGATGCTTTTAGAGCTGTGGGCTGGGCGACACCTATCACGTTTGCAAGAAAAATAGCCTATGTGTCGAACCTCTGCTTCCCGTGGGCTCCCTTCTCATGAAGCCAGTTTCACTGTAAGCCTGGTTCGAAGTGTCAGCTTGCTGCGCCGATCAGAAGGCTTTTGTCTAGACGTAGTCCCTTCGCCACTATTGGAGGACCACTGCTGACTCCTAGCATAACCTCAGTTCCCTGAGAGGAGGGAACGAGACACTGCGTACATTTCCATGTTACATATCTGTGAGTCTTTGTCGGCCACACTCTGCTTCAGTCCAAGATTCTGAGGCAATGGCACTCAACGCCACCCTATAGCGCAGGGGAGCCCGCCTCTATTTTGTGCGCTTGAACATCATTGGCGGGTGAATTCTCGCCTGCGAGATTTCATAAGGCTTCAGTAGATTTGAAGAAGGTGGGATAACCCCATTGTGCCACCTAACGATGATGCAGTGTCTCGTTCCCTCCTCTCAGGGAACTGAGGTTATGTTAGGTAACCGGAGACGATTTAAGGAGAAAAAAAACTCAGCAATGGTGTTCACTTATGAATTTGCACATTTTTCATAAAGCTTTAAATAAAACAAGCACTATTTACTTCAAATGAGGAAACAAATTAATAAAACAAGCTGACGGTTTTAGTAAGTCGTGGGAACAAATTGTTAATTCGTGGCCATGCCATGATATACATAGTTTTTGTCATGTGAGGGGGTTTCGTCAAAACTAACTAATAATATGAATTACATTAACAATTTCAATGAAGGGCTTGAAATGAAAAATGAGAGATGTGATGTGAAAAAAGGTGGTGGAAATTAGACTTCATAACCTTCATAAAAAAAAATATATTTTATTGAATTTTCTTCTGAAACATGTCAACACTGTGCAGTGTTAGTAGGCAAACCATTCAAGTATGAAAAGCATTTTAAGAGTTTATTTTCTAAAAGATACTTTATGATTATTCATCGTCTTGTAGATGTTCATTCACTTTTCTACTTTTTACCTTGTCTTATACTCCCTGAGTACAGCATGTTCTGGAAAGTTGGGTTCAAAAAGAAAACATGATATTCTCATGGTTTTCACTGAAGAATTTTAAAGGATGAGTGTGTGCATGTGCATGCCACAATGCTACAACCCTACACTGTGACCAAAATCACAAGGGAGAAAAAACACCAGCCGCCACTGATCCCTAACAAAATGGGAGCACACGAGTGTTGCCTTCCTCTGCTGAAACAGTCTAGAAACACAGAGTCTAAACCTCACCTCACATGCCCTATAGTACACACTATAAAACACATGCTCACACACTGACGTATTCTAAACACAGCTCCAACACTACCATTCAAAACTTTTTATGAATACTTTCTTGTGACAAGGATGTATTCAATTGATTTATAACATTACAAAAAATTTCCATTTCAAATAAATGCTGTTCATTTGAACTTTCTACTCAAAGAATCCTGAAAAAAGTATCATGGTTGAGAAAAACAGCACTGTAAATCGGCCCATAATCAGGATCTAATAAAAGTCAAAGAAGTCTGATCAAAGCCAATAGAAACACCACTTTGCACAATTTACACAATAAAAGATCCAAGCATCTAAACATTCCTTAACAATGTAATGTTAAAGTGATTTATACAGGTCACCCTGGCCTTATATTAAGCAAATAAAACAAGTGAAAAGCACAAAATTATACTCTGGGTTGTTATGTATATCCATAAACCACAAGCATGGAAAGTTGTGCTTTGAGCTTTCAGCCACCATAAAATTATTTAGTACTGTTCAAATTAAAAGCAGATGCCTCTGAATTTTCAAGTATTTACCGTTGACGAGGGAGTGATGAGTTAGGACAAGAGAGCTGTATATATGTTTTATCATACTGTATGTTTTGTGCACAAGTGGGAAATATCCTGTCCTATAAGCAATACACGCTGTCATCTAGAGATGGTCTATAAATGTAGATCATAACTTCAAATCCATTTGCATCTCTCATTATATTGACCAATCGCATTAATATATTCTTAAAGATTTTCATGACAGAAAAATGACCTGAATTATAAGTGACGATGCTGATCTTCTTAAAGCAATGAGTTTGGAGTGAAAAAAATCCCATGAATGTAAAAGCAGTTTAAAATGACTTTTACAATAATTTGGTGACAGAATGAGTGGGACTAGGCAATGAGAGTAGAAAATGGGATAAAACGAAAGAGAACTATAAATGTACAGTTTATTTTAATCTTAATGTGTTTCCTTTCTTAAAAAGTGCAACTCAGGATTAGGGGCTAGAGTAATATGACTGACTCACTGTGGTTGCTTAAGATTTCATTATTGCTGTAGTTGGCAGAATCCTTGGATGACACCAATTCTCCATTTCCACTAGTGTAGGGTTTCTGAAACTGACAAATGGATGGAACAGATGAATAAGTTAGTTTGTAAGAGTAGCAGTGCAAGCAACGACTGTCCATGAATAAAAAAAGGCAACATTAAATCAAAATGTACCCTATTTACTGTCGTAGTGCACATTGTGAACAATTATGCAATAATGCATGTTATTTAAAATGTTGTAATATTCATTAATATTCATAAATGTTCTAATATCTTTGTAATATTTATTAATGAATAATATTTATGAATATATATTAATTAATATTTATTAATTAATAATAATATTTAATTAATATTTAATTAAAATGTGATAACTTTGAAATCATTTTCCTTTTTATGGCTTCCTTTTTTTCAAGCTCTCTTTTTTTTCAACCACACACACACATGGTATTGGGCTGATAAATGGCAGATATTAAAATTCTATACTATTTTTGGTTAAAAGTACACAAAAAGTAATGTTTGGCTAATACAAAAGTAAAAACTAAACCACAAGTGAATGTAATGCTTCACAAGATAACATAACATATACATAACAGTATGAAAAATGGAATTTCATTTAGAAATTTCTTAAACATTAAATTTAAGAGTGTTATTAAATTATTAATGTTATTGGTTTTCAAATAATAACTTTAAATGATTGTTTGATGACAGTAAATGTAATCTTAAAGGGTTAGTTCACCCAAAAATGAAAATTCTGTCAGTATTTACTCACCCTCATGTTGTTCCAACCCCGTAAGACCTTCGTTCATCTTCGGAACACAAATTAAGATATTTAAGATATTAAGATCGCTCCTGCATACAGTCCATAGGCTTCTTGAGGGACTGGCTCTTTCTGTCCCCGAAAAGTCATTAAAGACATCGTTAAAATAGTCCAAGTGACTACAGGGGCTCAATCTTAAGTTTATCAAACGACGAGAACACTTTTGTGCGCAAAAAAACAACAAAAATAACGACTTTATTTCAACTATTCACTTTCTTCTCCATGAGCCTGTAAGTCAGTTAACGTAGTGTGATTGCGTAGAGCTACGTCACACGTAGGCTCACTATTGGCCGACGCTGGTCATGTGTGTGTGATGCGTGTGACGTACAATAACAGAAGCTTACGCTATTAAACTAGTAACCTGACTCGCGCAGAGGGAGAAATAAACGAATAGTTGAAATAAAGTCGTTATTTTTGTTGTTTTTTTGCGCACAAAAGTGTTCTCGTCGTTTGATAAACTTAAGATTGAGCCCCTGTAGTCACTTGGACTATTTTAACGATGTTTTTAATGACTTTTCGAGGACAGCAAGAGCCAGTCCCTCAAGAAGCCTATGGACTGTATGCAGGAGCGATCTTAATATCTTAAATATCTTAATTTGTGTTCCAAAGATGAACGAAGGTCTTACGGGGTTGGAACAACATGAGGGTGAGTAAATACTGACAGAATTTTCATTTGTGGGTGAACTAACCCTTTAATGTACAAACATGGAGAAAATTAGCATGACAATGAAATATAGAGTATAAGCTGATATAAATCCAATATTGACTGATGCTGATAAAGTAAAACATCTGTAATATCGAATGCTAATGACCATGGTACCATTGTGCGGTGGTATTGTGCATTAACGCGTACAGTTTCATTCACAAGTTTGGGATCAGTACTAATTTTTTATGTTTTTGAATAAAGTCTCTTATGTCTCACCAAGGCAACATTTATTTAATCAATCAATATACAGTAAAAACAAAAATATTTATAATTACAAAACTAAAAGAACTATTTTTCAGTTTTAATATATTTTAAGAAGTAATTTATTCCTGTGATGGCAAAGCTATATTTTCAGCATCCATTACTCCAATGTTTAAGAAATCCTTCAGAAATCATTCTAATATGCTGAACTCAAGAAACATTTCTATATATTTTCATTATAATCGATGTTCAAAACATAAGTGTCACAGTCCCTCGTCTGCACCATCCTGTCTGCGTCTCCAGCACTACACTTCCCAGGATCCTCTTGTCTCCACACCTGAACTCACTCCCTTATCAGCCTCCCGTTCAGCGTCCTGTATTCATCTGTTTCACCTGTTTTCACCTCGTTTAGTTTGATTCCTGTGTGTATTTAGTTCCTTCCCATTCAGTCTGTCTTTGTTGGTCGATGTTAATGTTACCCTGTGTTCCGCCTGCCTGTTTCCTGTTTATTTGATATTAAACCTTTTGTATTGGAGCTTTTCTGGACTCTGCCTGTTCCTTCTGCCTGAACCCGCATCGTGACAGATCGACCGACCCCCAAAAAGGGAAATATATGGATTTAGCCGCTGTACAACTTCTCCTCCTGGAGCAGGAGGATCAATCCCTCGAGGCCCACACACAGAGGTATTTGGACTTGGTACCTCATGTTCACTATGATGTTACCAGCCTCTGTGTGTTCTTCCGGGCAGGCCTAAATGCTGAAACCCAGGCACGCCTGCCCGGAGACGGGCCTCGAGGGGACTTTGCGGCCTATGTGGAGTGGGTGCTGGTGTCATGTGGATCTCCCTTTACCATGTATGACGTCACCAGCCCCACTCCCTCGCTCGAATGCTCTTCACCGCTGGTTCCGTCCAGCTCTCCAGAGACTGAATGCTCTTCACCGCTGGTTCCGTCCAGCTCTCCAGAGACTGAATGCTCTTCACCGCTGGTTCCGTCCAGCTCTCCAGAGACTGAATGCTCTTCACCGCTGGTTCCGTCCAGCTTTCCAGAGACTGAATGCTCTTCACCGCTGGTTCCGTCCAGCTCTCCAGAGACTGAATGCTCTTCACTGCTGGTTCCGTCCAGCTCTCCAGAGACTGTAAGCTCTTCACTGCTGGTTCCGTCCAGCCCTCCAGAGACTGTAAGCTCTTCACTGCTGGTTCCGTCCAGCTCTCCAGAGACTGTCCAGCCAGCGCCAGAGACCGTCCAGCCAGCGCCAGGGACCGTCCAGCCAGCGCCAGGGACCGTCCAGCCAGCGCCAGAGACAGTCCAGCCAGCGCCAGAGACCGTCCAGCCAGCGCCAGAGACCGTCCAGCCGGCGCCAGAGACCGTCCAGCCGGCGCCAGAGACCGTCAAGCCGGCGCCAGAGACCGTCAAGCCGGCGCCAGAGACCGTCCAGCCGGCGCCAGAGACCGTCCAGCCGGCGCCAGAGACCGTCCAGCCGGCGCCAGAGACCGTCCAGCCGGCGCCAGAGACCGTCCAGCCGGCGCCAGAGACCGGGATCCCACCCAGCCTCCCTCTCCCGCCTCCTCTCATCTCTCCTCCCTCTGCTCTCCGGCCCTTCAGCTCCCCGAAACCAGCCTGGTCTGTGTATCCCCGGTCTTCGCCTCACACCTCCTCCTCTGAGACACTTCCTCGGCCCCCAGTCCCATCGGCTCCCCCGTGGCTGCTACCTCCCTCAGCTCCTCCATGGTCCCACAGTCCACCAGCTCGGCCAGGCTCCCTCGTCCCTCCGAACTCCCTGCACTCCCTCGTCATCCTCCCCTCACCTATGGACTTCCTTACTTTGGCTCCGCCCCGTTTTGTCACCCCTTCGGTTCAGTTGGACTCCTCACTCCCTCCAGTCACCCGTCAGCCCTCACGCACTCTGACCTCACCGTGTCCCTCTGTGCCCCTGTCAGCACTTCTGTCACCAGAGCCTGCGGTGTCCCCTTGCTCCCTCGGTCCCTCCTCAGCACCCATCGTCGTCTGTCCCTCAGCTACACCCTGGTCTCCTCTTCCATCTGCTCCGCCCTGGTCTCGCCCTCCATCTGCTCCGCCTTGGTCTCGCCCTCAGCCTGCTCCGCCCTGGCCACGCCCTCAGCCTGCTCCGCCCTGGCCACGCCCTCAGCCTGCTCCGCCCTGGCCACGCCCTCAGCCTGCTCCGCCCTGGCCACGCCCTCAGCCTGCTCCGCCCTGGCCACGCCCTCAGCCTGCTCCGCCCTGGCCACGTCCTCAGCCTGCTCCGCCCTGGCCACACCCCTCTCAGCCCCCAGTTCGTCCCCCCTCCTTCCTCTGTTCTGCGGCGTGAGGTCACGCCTCCCGGGAGGGGGGAGTTCTGTCACAGTCCCTCGTCTGCACCATCCTGTCTGCGTCTCCAGCACTACACTTCCCAGGATCCTCTTGTCTCCACACCTGAACTCACTCCCTCATCAGCCTCCCGTTCAGCGTCCTGTATTCATCTGTTTCACCTGTTTTCACCTCGTTTAGTTTGATTCCTGTGTGTATTTAGTTCCTTCCCATTCAGTCTGTCTTTGTCGGTCGATGTTAATGTTACCCTGTGTTCCGCCTGCCTGTTTCCTGTTTATTTGATATTAAACCTTTTGTATTGGAGCTTTTCTGGACTCTGCCTGTTCCTTCTGCCTGAACCCGCATCGTGACAATAAGCTTTATAGTATTTTGTGGAAACCATGATACATTTTAAAAACATCTATGATCATGCATTTATTTGAAATAGTACTCTTTTGTAACACTATACATGTATTTAACGGTACTTTTTATCAATTAAAAGCGTTCTTGCTGAATATTAATTTTTTTAAAAAAAGAAACTCTTTGACATCAAACTTCTGAATGGTGGTGTACAACCAATTTTATTTTGTTGATTTAAAAAAAATGCCCAAACATATTGCATAATTAGAGATATGTAACTTTACTAAATTTCAAACAGCTTGGTCAAATCATATATATATATATATATATATATATATTTTTTTTTTTTTAACTCTGATCATATCACACATTCACTTCTTTCTTCAACTATCTTTTTAACACCCCCTTGCTGGACCGTACCATGTGTTCCAGAATGGATGAGTTTGAATAGATGGGCTGAGAGTGCATTCCACCACACAGCTGCTGAAAGGGGTCATCCATGTACATGTTTGAGGTGGGGAACTTGCGGCTTTTCAGACCACTGAGTAACAGAGGAAACAGAAGAATGGAAAGAGGATGCGGAAAGAATGCAAGTACTTTTGTGAGTGTGTGTGTGTGTGTAACACACACACACACACACACACACACACACAGATTCATGCTTGGTTCATATGGAATAAGGGCAGCAGACAGATAGCATGTGAGTGTGTGTGTGTACCTCAGTGACTCGTGGCTGGTGTGTATATATGTAGAACCAGCTACAGTGGAAATCCCATCCTGCAGTAGCTGAACCCACTGCTCTTTGTCATCTGCACAATTTGCCTGCAGAGTCATACATGTACAATAGCATACAGTAATTCATAACACAGTGATAACAGTTTAAAACAACAGGAAATCAAAATAGATCATAATTACTTTCATTTTAATATCCCTGCCCTTTATAAGTAGGCCTACTGTTGCAGTAATATGGTGCAGTGATGGTATCAGATGGTGATACTGTTGTAATTTTATATATACCAAGGTACATTCATACAAGAACATGGTACCACCATGGTACCAGGTAAAAAAACAAACAGAACACAATAAAAGCACTATGGTACTTTTTTGTATTGTTTAAAACCATGGCATGTGTAAAAATAAACATGACATTGCCATGGTACCATGTCCTAAATATCTACGATACTATTTTAAGGTGTTAAAGTGTAATTATACATTTAAGTACTGTCTGTAATAATAATTAACTACACATACTTACTATAGGGTTAGGGTTATGATTGGGGTTTGGTTTGGTTTAGGGTTAGTTGCATGTAATAATGGATAATTTATAGTTCTTACCAAATCTACTTTAAATGACTAAAACTGGAATAAAAATCAATCAAAGAAATTACTAAATATTAATATAAAAAATGTATACAAGCGAATATTTAAATCATTATTGTACCTCTAGTACAGCCATCTGGTCTCCGTGCTGTGTGATAGTAATGCGGTAAGCATGTGCAGTATCCGGGCCGGGACGGACCTCACTCCCTTTGAGCTGAACCGTGTACTGAGGGGTCTCTTCTGACTCCTCATCTCGATACATCTTCAGAACCCCGTCCTCCACGCGACACCACAGACTCTGCCACTGACAGTTCATCAGCACGTTCAAGAAGGCCGCTGAGGACAGTGGACAAAGAGTTAATACACGTTACCTGTGCTTGATGATAATTTGTGTTCATGGTATATTTGTGTGTAGCTCATTACATTTCAAATTGTGACCTTGGTTGCTTGGCTGTTCTTAAAGTTGGTGTGTTTGACTAATGACTAATGTTTAAGAACGTTATACTATTTCAGCTGAAAAGCAGAGACAACTATTAGTAAGCCACTCTCTTAAATAAGAGGGTTATTAGTGGGATATTTGTAAACTTCTTTTAAACTTAAGAAACATAATAGCACACATTCAGAACTTTTCATGTAACAAACAAGTACACATAAAAGTCTTCATGTATTATGGATTTTTGAAAATGACCTTCTTGTAGTGTGTAACACAGCTCTAAGTGAATGAAACTGTTTACATACTGTAAAGTTTTAAATCTGAAAGTGCACCGTATATAAAGTTATTGTCTTTCAAAAGTAAGAGTCGACCGAGTCAAAATTTTGATTACTGTGTGCTCATTTTAATGTGATTTTAAACCATGCAAGCACATAAGATGACCATTGTTGCTAAGACCATTTTGCGAGATGTAAACAACACTTGTCCTGAAACACTTCCTGTTTAAGTTTGTAAATGGTTTCTTTATTTCAAATGTAAAGAAAACATCTTAAATATGTGCGTTTAACTTTTTCATTCAGTTGCATATGTTCTGTTGGTTGTATTTTATTCCAACGTTTATGTAGTGTTAAAAAAACTGAAACAGGAAGTGCTTCTGGACCAGTGTTGTTTACATCTCACAAAACGGTCTTATCTTAATATTTGACTTTTCTTCTTCTTCTTTTTTTTTTTTTTTTACCTTATTGGAATCGAAACTGGGAATCAATAAGAATTGTTTAAGTCTCCTGACTAGTACAACACATTGGCTCAACCAGTGATGTATGTTTGGGGTGGTTCTGTTTCCCAACCAATTGCAGATGGAGGGAGTGTTCAGAAGAACATGCTTAAATAATTCAAACAATTTTTGTCATTCTGTTTGCTAGGCGTGCAGAAATTACACACTTTAGATCAAATAATAAAATAAACGTCTGAGTCTATAATCAAAGTAGAAACACAAATAAACAGATAAACTTGTATGAAAGTTTCCCTTTCAAGTTGTGGAGACACGTGAAGTAGACATCTACACGTCTCTAATCAGTGAGCGCACGTTTCCAATAACAAAACATTAAAACTCAGCGAGTGGTAAGTCATAGCCACTTCCAAGTTTCAACTAAACATTTGATGTTCTCCAAAATCTAATTAGCTTATTTCTTTTAAAAATAAATAGCATTTCCTGTTTCCTTCATAAACAAATACGCTTTGCTTACCTAAATGCTGAGCCACTATCAGAAAGTTCACCCAAATATTTAAAACCAAACTAGAGAGAGTTCACTACTGTGGTTGTCACCCCAATGTCAAAGGTGACAATAAAATCTCACAGGAATCCATCCACAGACAATGACACAGTGTGGAAAACACCCAGCCTGTGTCCTGTACGGCATGCAGTGAATTTAGCCCCTAATGAATAACACCAAAACGAGTGAACAATGGCACAGTTGTGCTAATAGAAGGGCTAGCTCAGATGCAACATATGCAGACCACATAATGGGTATAAAGCAGTGTGCGAAAATAGATCATAATTACTTTCATTTTAATATCCCTGCCCTTTATAAGTAGGCCTACTGTTGCAGTAATATGTCTATGCAGTATTAGGCCTATAAACAAATGTAATATTACTCTGTTTATTAATGTTTTTACTACTCTATGTGTAGAGTTTTTGGAGGATTTATTATATATTTTAAATTAAAAAAAAAAAAAAATTAAAAACAATTGTACAAAACAGCTTTTTTATATATAAAAAAATTAATTATTTAACCAAAATTTCTAAATTTAATTTATAGTAATAGCATGGATAATTTGACATGGTTTATTGTAAAATTGTTGCCCATCTTTTGGGAAGTGCAGTTTTAATAGATGGCTATAGAGCTCCACCATATGCTTTTTGCTATTTGACTGACTGAAAGATATCTTTTCACAAGTTTTAGTTGGATTCATATCTGATTTTTTGACAAATTTAGCCTTTTTGTTAATCAAACCTGAAAAAGATATTTACAAAGAGAAAAGTTGAGTTTATAGAGTTTATCATTTATTTCAGTTTTTTTTCTTCTTTCATATAATTGTACAAATGTAATCTACACGTCAGTTACTAACTATAACAGAACAGATATGAATAGTTGTATTACATATAGAGAACGCTCAAGGCTTAAGTTAAAATAGACCAAAGTTCCCTTTGCTTGACTTCTTGTGGTTGCCGTCCTGCCTCAAATGATTCTGTTCGCAAATCAAACCATGATCAATTTAGAGTTTGCTAACTTATTCGTATCGGTCTGATGCGCGCGAGTATGGACTGTGATTGGATGATGAGGTTGTGATAATTCTGAAGTGTCGTCTTGCTGTTGTCCGGCTAATATGGGACAGACGGTAATCGTGCTGGTAGCAGCGAATTTTACATCAGTATTTGCCGCGTCTTCGGTAGACTCGGCTTCAATTAGCCTACGTGTTCTTCTGTGGAGTCACTGGGTGGGAGAGGATCCTCTTTTCTGGTAGTGAGTTGGCCTGCACCAGCATCGTCTTTCAGTGCCTCTTTATCTCTGAGTGCCAACTTTTTAGATGCGAACCCAAAGTGTGTGAGTGATACACTCTGATTTATTTTTCACTAGCTAGCCATTTTTAATGACTTCTCAAAGTTTCTACTATTTGGCGCATGTGGCTAATTTGCATATGTTCACAGGACTGGCTGGCTAAGCTTTGCAAAAAATAAACACATTTGTGATTGTGAATAAATGTTTTTAATTCTGAATACTGGACATGGTGAGCTTAAAAACATTTTAGTGACAATTAGTGACATGGGGGGGGGGGGGGTAGTATAAAGCACATTGGTAGACTTCTTTAATTAGAAACAGAATTAAGTTACGAAATAACAACAAAGAACTGTTGGAAATGCAGACATTAAACAATGAAATCAAAACCGACCCTATTTGCATTCTTACATGATACAATTTTTACAAGATAACGGTTTCGTTTTTCAAAAACTTGTTCCAAAGTTTGCATTCTCAGGCCACCAAAACGCTGCTGTCATGTGAATGAACTGCTTTAATGCATTAAAGGTTTTCAGTTAAAAACAATGTTGTTTAAATGCCCCTAAATTAATAAATAATGATTATTACAATGGAAATGAATCAACACTGAACTTACCGGTACTTAAACTGGACACTGAATTTCTTCTAGTGCTGCTCTACAGTCAAAACTGTTGCATTCATTTCCTGTTATCATTGTAAAGCTGCTTTGTAACAATCTTTATTGTAAAAAGAGCAATATTGATAAAGGTCACTTGACTTAAAAATGTATCTTGATTTTATAGTGAATGATTGATAAAAACTAAAAATAAGTCGCATAATTTTTCATCAAAATGTAATAACACATTGCAACCTTGGTAGACTGGCATGCATAAAGTCGTGATGTAATGGAAGTAGCAAAGATCTTTTCTTACGCAATGCAAAGTAAATCCGAATGAAATGGTTGTTGAATGACTGGGCAATCAAAATGTAATAACTTGACCCCCCTTTGAAATAACTTTCCTTTATGGCTGACATCACCATAGCCTAAGATTGTTTATTTACCAAGAAAGTCCACTCATATTAATTGGAGAAATTGCAACACGCAATGTGGTGGAATAAGTCTTGCCTTCAAAATACAACAGCCAATTGTTAATTTTGATTAAAGGCAATGTATGTTTCATAATATAGACAAATATTACAATATTTAACCAGTCAAGTCAAGTATATTTATATAGCACTTTTCACAATATAGATTGCATCAAAGCAGCTACACAGTATCAATCAAAACAAAATAACAATGTTCGTTTCTTAGTGGAAAAACTTTCACATTTGGTAGAGCTAATCAAGGATATTACTGATTGGTTAATACATTTGAATATCCGCAACTAAACAAGCCAAAAGCAACAGTGGCAAGGAACCAAAAAACTCCATCAAGGTGACCCGTAATCAGTGCTCCGTAATACTGCTGCACAAAGAATCAAGTCTTTAGAGTTATTCATGGTCTGTTTTAGTAATTTGTAAATTCTTTACACTTTCAATTTTCCTTTTAATGTTCGATGGTTGAAGGGCGAGTACAATAATGACACTTCATTCTTCCCAGTTTTAAACAAAAAGGCTTATTCTTGCTTATTAAGAGTGAGCCTTTCACTGATTGCTTACAGTTTAACGCAAGTTACTCTCACAATTCGCGCAAAGTATCATGGGGTGTAGGAAAAAGGTGGATAGTATGTAGCATGAATGCAATCCGGACTTACTGCATCCGTCATGTTGTCATAGTCATGTTGTCTAGTTGGCACTGGCGTTCACAAATCTAATTCCCGTAGCTTCATGGGATATTAAAGTGTCCATTGGATGCACACATCAGAATATTGACAGAAGTAGTACTTCTTCCGGGTACTTTTCGTTTTTGTGAATGCTGTGAATTCAAACATATTTCTCATCTCACATCCTGTTTTTCACCAACTATATATTAGGGAAGTGTGTGATTTTTGATGCAGAGAAGCTCTCTTATTTTTAAACCCTTCCCCTCCAAACAATTGGTTCCATTATGGTACGAATCACCCTCTTTTCATCATCCAACTAACTCCTTTGTGTTTCCAAACGCAAGTATGTCTGCTCACCTCTGTCTTTGTCTTTAATCTCCACACTGCTAATTGCAGACGGAAGACTTGAGATTTTCTCTTCATCCGAGTCTGTATGGAGGACAGTACTTGACTACAGCGAGAAAAATAGATTGTAAGAACTTGTTAGTTGACATAAGTAAGTACTATTCTCCAACACAGGTAAGGCAGTCCTTACCAAATCTACAAATTGGCTTAAGATGGAACACAAGACTTTGCTAATCAGTTCATGGCTTAAGCCAGCAAAACATTCATGAAAGAGACTCTGGAATGGATGTGAGGGAAAGGTCTCCAGATGAATAACTACCAAGCTAATTCAGTAACATCTCTTTTAGAGAAATCAAGTTATGCTGTTACTCTCTCGCTGTGTCCATCACATTGATAATGTTGTTAACATAGAGAACAGGACCTGGCATGGTGTCAGTGAGTGTGTAATTTACCCTGCAAGAGTCCAGCCTCTCACTCCTCAGGATGGATGAGGAGCTTTGGGATTCAGGCTCGTAATAAGAGGAGCCGCTCACTTCTTCTATAATCTACAAATGCGACAAACAGAAAACAAGTTAGTTAAAGTTACAGTTTAAAGTCGGCAATGAAATCAAATGCATCTTATACAGTAGATCTTATTCTGAACAATTCATCTGTGCATGTTTAATTTCTTTTTAAATACTTTTGACCTTGTAATGTTTAATCAAAACATCATATCTGGACCTTCCAGTGAAATGACAAGACATCTCTCTGGTGATGTATGCAGGACCTGCAATCACTTAGTTTGCTTAAACCCCACCCTCACATTCATCTGCCTTCACTTTTGAGTGCAACGGCCACATCGCCCGACATTTGGTCTTTGGTACACTCACCGACCACTTTATTAGGTATACCTTGCTAGTACTGAGTTGGACCCCTGCCTTAATTTTCATGGCATAGATTAAACAAGGTGCTGGAAATATTCCTCAGAGGTTTTGGTCCATATTGGCATGACAGCATCATGCAGTAGATTTGTCGGCTACACAGTGCACATCCATGACGTGAATCTCCCGTTCAACCACATACCAAAGGTGCTCTATTGAATTAAGGTCTGGTGACTGTGGAGGGCATTTAATTATAGTGAATAATAATATTTTGTAACATTTATTTAGAACTTTTCTCTGCACTCAAACACTTTACATGGAAGGTGGGAATCTCTTCAACCACCACCAATGTGCAACATAAACCTGGATGATAAGATGGCAGTCATAGTGCACCAGAACTTCAACCACACACCAGCTTATTGGTGGAGAGGAGATGAGTGAACTCATTGTCATGTTCAAGAAACTAGTTTTAGTACGTCTTCATGCTGCTGTAGCCAATCTGCTTCAAGATTCAACATGTTGTGTGTTCAGAGATGCTCTTCTGCAGACCTCAGTTGTAACGATTTGAGTTACTGTTGCCTTTTTATTAGCTCAAACCAGTCTGGTCTTTTCACTCACAGAAATGCCACCCACTGGTAAAGATATTTTATCTTTTCAGAACATTCTCTGTAAACCCTACAGATGGTTGTTTGTGAAAATCCCAGTAGAACAGCAGTTTCTGAAATACTCATACCAGCCTGTCTGCCACCAACAACCATGCCACATTCAAAAGTCACTTAAATCACCTTTCTTCCTCATTCTGATGCTCAGTTTTGAACTCCATCAGATCATATTAATGCTTGACCATGTCTACATACCTAAATGCATTGAGTTGCTGCCATATGATTGGCTGATTAGATATTTGCATTAACAAGCAGTTGAACAGGTTTACCTAATAACGTGTTTGGTAAGTGTAAGTCACAATATGGAGGAAAAGATTGCAACTTTAAGGGGGCTTCTACACTGGGCTCGTTTGCTGCGGTCCAAGCTCGAGAGTGTTTGTTCCTGGCGCCCAGCGTTGGTCTGGTTTCACACTCAACTTGATTCTATCGAACCTTGGTGCGTTTGCGTGCATCTTACGTCATCGCAAACGTGCGCGGCGCATGATAGAAAGCAGAACGTGGGTAAATATTGTGTTTTTTTAAATTTGCTGCAATTATGAGCAGTTGAGTGAACAATACAGGTTTACTGTGCGTGTCACATAAGGTGGACTTCTGCTGCATGCAAACGGACTCTTTTGAGGAGACAGTGGATTTCCAAATGTGTTGCTCTGATTCCACGCGCAATGCACGGATATACTGCAGGCCCACTCTCGCTCGTATCCAAGGTAAATCATCAACACTATCATCCCTTACAAGTGTTTTATTTAACTGAATACATCACAATAAGCTAAAATGCATGCGCAGGATACTTTACTTCCTGAACAAGTGCGCGCCCGAATCTGTGTTGCTTTCACATTGACGCAAACCGCGGCATGGTTCAGAAGCAACCGAACTTAGACCACCTCCTCCAGGTAGTCTCGGGTTCGGTACCCCAGTGCGCACCCGGGTCTCATGACAGCGTTCAGATTAGCGATTTTTCATGCGAACCGTGCCCCGTTCCGAACTAAACTGCCAGTGTGAAAGCCCCCAAGTTTAATGAAAATGTAAGTCTAAGTTTCGACTTGGTCAGACCTTCCTCCACTCTTCGGCCTGCGTGCTGCTCTGGAAGCCCAAGTTGACTGTTTCGGCACCGGCCACCACCTTCAGCTCGTGCTGCATCTTTTTGCTGTGTTTAGATTTGTAGACCACGTAGCAACCCGTGAGGTTCAGCTCCAGCAGAGGGTGTAAGTCTTTAGCACACTTAAAACACTGCCAGGGAAAAAAATGTATGTATTACATACTGAACAGTAACTTACTTTGTAAAGATGTAAAAAAAATGTATGCAATGTTTTAAGACACTTAACTGCATGTTATTTACAATTAAATGAAAGTGTATTGTAGTTGTAATTAGCTGTTATTTTTGATATTTGATAGCCTTACTACGTCAGACTTCATACTTCCGCTCAATTTCAGTTCGCTTCCGTACTCAGTCAGAGATAGCAACCTATCTCTTAGTTTTCCTCCAGCCTGAAAACAGCTGGCCAATCAATGAGAAGAGGGTGGGAGGAGAGCCGTGACGTAGATGCTAAGCACAGAGTTTACGATTACATTTTAGGTTGGGGAAATCGAAAACGACCGTGGATATGGAGATACGGGATGCAATTCGCTCTGTTGTGGAGAATGTTCCCGGGATTTGCAAACTGAAGCCCGAACAAGAAGACTGCTACTTATTTGACCCACTTAAATAAGATTTACATAACTAGTGCAAAATGCCCGTATTTAGCGATATCTTTTGCATTTCTAATCCAAACAACGTCAAACTGGGCACTGCACTTACTCGTGCCCGTAGCAAGACACTTGTCAAGTTTGAGATCCATCGGACTAACATCTCTCATCAACTTACACTAGCCATATGCATTCAATTCAAGACATTGAGGTTTACCTACAGAACAACCACTGGCTCAGCACCCCTGTACCTAAACTCACTATTTCAGACTTGTTTGCACTCAGAAGCTTGCGTTCTGCAAGTTCTGCTTCACTTTCACGGACCTTTACCTTGACTGTTTCCTGCTGATAGAATAAATTGCCTATCCCCACCCATTTTCAATAAACTGCTTAATACTTGACCCATTAAAGGCGCAGGGTGTGATTTTTAGCGACATCTAGCGGTTCGGTTGCGAGTTGCACTAAGGGCTCAGCCCACTGCTTACCCCTCCCTTACGAAGAAAATATGGTAGGAAACGCGTTCTGTAGCAATGTTTGTTCGCGTTCGGCTACGGTAGAAACATGACGTCACAATATGTCGACCTTCATAGGAGGGGGTGCCCGCGGTTATGTAGATATAAATGTCATTCTAAGATAATAAAAACATTACGCTTTATTAAGTAAGTTCTTTATACACCACTGAAAACATAGTTATTGATGTCATATTGCATTTCTGTTAATAGATAAAAAAAAACATTTTACACATTGCACCTTTAATACCAACTTTTTGTTTGTATTGTGCTAGACTATCTGGGACTTGAAACTGAACTTTTTTCTTCTATTGTTCTCTTAATTTGCAAATCACTTTGGATAAAATGTAATTGTAAATAAAATAATAACAGCAACATTTGTATAATACAGTAATTGCCTTTAAATGTGGATATTTTAACATATTCTAAATCAAGGATGGGCAACAAAGTTTTGCTCCAACCCTAATCAATCACACCTGATCCATCTAAACAATGTCTTCAGGATTATTAGAAAGCTACAGGCAGGTGAGATTTATTTTATTTATCAGGGTTGGAGCTAAACTCTGCAGGACAGTGGCCCTCCAGGACCGAAGTACCCATCCCTGTTCTAAATGGACTTCTTGACAATGTTTCTGTAAAATAACTAATACTGTAAATGTGCAGGTTCCTTTGATTGAAAGTATGTATTCTGTACTTATACATTTAGTTCATTTAACAGAAATTGTCTAACAGAAAGAAAGTATTTCGTTTAGAGACTGGTCAAATAAGTTGAGATTGGATCTGTAAAAATAAAGATTAAACATAGTTAATGTACACAGAAAGAAAATTATAAAATAATAGGGGTTTGCAAAAATTAATTGCGATTAATCGCATCCAAAATAAAAGTCTGTGTTTACATAATATATTTGTGTGTGCTGTATATAATTATTTTGTATATATAAATAAACACACACATGCATGTATATATTTAAGAAAATGTGTTATTCATATATAAAATATTTATATTTATAAAATATAGATTATGTATTTATATATATATGCAGAATTTAAGCGCGAATAATTCTTAAATAATACATGCATGCATAGGTAATTATATATGCAAAATAATGATATACAGCACACACAAATATATTATGTAAACACAGACTTTTATTTTGGATGTGATTAATCGCAATTAATTTTTGCACAGCCCTAAAAATAACTTTAAAAAAACCTAAATCTAAAGTTTGACCTAAAAGTAAGTTGTTTTCAATGTAATTTCACATTATTTATCAATTTTTCTACGGTTTAATAAGCATTTATCAACACTGATACTGTATGATGTCATTTCATTCATTTTGACCGCAAAATATATTCAGTATTTTTACAGTTTTTGCAAGTAGGTTTGTAAAATGGCTGTAATTTAACTGAATCCATTTGGAAACTTTACTGCCAGACTTTTTACAGTTTTAATTTGTTGCAGTATGGATTAAAACTATGGATTTCTTGATTTCAATCGATTCTCATTTTGAAGACTCGATAATGATTCTTAAAATCAAAATAATCAATCTTTCAGTCTCTACTGTTTTCAGTTGGTGAATGAACAAAGCTTTGAAACGCATACCTCCCATCCAATAAATCGCAAAAAGCGTTGTGCTTTGTTACTTTAGATATGAAACAAAGTCACAGCTTTTAAATTCTGTCAATTTTATTTATAAATTCAAACAATAAATACCATTTTGGAGCTCTTTAATGTGGCGTGACAGATCACTCTAGCGCCTCATTCAAGTGAAACGGCAGTGCAAAGTTCATGTAAACTGACCATCTCTTTCACATTACTACTAGTTACAGCATGAAATAAACAAGAATTAACATCAGATTCAGAAGGTATGTTGAAAGATACAGTACAACAACAAAATCCAAATATAGTCAGATGTAATTGCTCAATCAATGTTTTAACCGCTGAAAGACGTCAATAATTGCTTAACGGCCCGAAAATAATGTCATGTAATGTTATATTTAACTCAGAAAAGCAATTTAAAACTCATTAGTTGGCTAAAAAATTAACACTGTGTGAACTATATTGCATGTGCATTGTATTTTTACTAAACTTTTTTACTTTTTAAAAATTTTTACTAATATGATCCAACTGACCTCAATAACTTTCACCCCATTTCAAACCTTCCATACATCTCCAAACTTCTTGAAAAAACTTTTGTTGCTCAGCTTCATACCCACCTTTCCTCCAATAACCTTTATGAACTTTTTTAATCTGGCTTTCGCTCTCTTCAAAGTACCAAAACAGACCTTCTCAAAATGACCAATGATCTCCTCCTTTCTGCTGACTCCGGTTCACTAACCATCCTCCTCTTGCTTGATCTCAGTGCAGCCTTTGACACCATCTCACACTCTATCCTTCTTGACAGACTTTCTTCCATTGGCATCACTGGTACACCCCTCACCTGGTTCCATTCTTACCTTTCTGACCTCTCACAGTTTATTCAGCTAAAGTCCTTGATCTTTCATCCCGTCCCGGTCACATCTGGTGGACCACAGGGTTCTGTTCTTGGCCCCATGCTTTTTCTGATCTACATCAACACAACATCCATTTTCATTGCTATGCGGATGACACCCAGCTCTACATCTCCAGTAAACCCAGTATACAGTACTTCCACCTTCCTCCCAAACCAACTGACTTCATAAAATAAAGTCCTGGTTCACGTCAAAATTTCTCAAACTTAATAGCAATAAAACTGAATTTCTACTCACTAGCACTAAATCCACCTTAAGTAAAATGAACAATTTCACAAGAAATCTTCATTGATGGCTCCTCCATTTCCCCATCTCCTCCGGTAAAGAGTCTGGGTGTCATCCTAGACAGTGCATAGCCTTGTCACTTCGAAAGGCGGCTTGTCACGGTCAATGTCCGCTGATAAAAAAAAACGTCTACTTTTATATCTAGCATTACGAGCTTTCTGAATACGCTTTGGGTGCTCTTCTCTTTTCTGCCGTTTTATTAATTACCTCGTTAGTAAACCAATCGCACACAAAAGCAGCACAGCTTGAATCCCCTCCATACAAAACTCAAAACAAACGCGCAGGCTAGGAAGAGCAGTCGCACGCAGTTTCCCGCCTCGGACCAGTACTTTAGTCCGCAGTGTAAACGCAGTAAGCAAGCGGTCTCGGGAAAAAAAGTTCCTGGGACAAATAGTTCCTGGTAATTGCGGTGGAAACGCGGCTCATATAACACATCACCCCAGTTCTTCAACAGCCCCACTGGCTTCCTATTTCATATCTTATCCAATACAAAATCCTGCTCTTCACATTCAAAGCCATCAATAACCTAGCCCCTTCATATCTGACTGATCTCATTCATATTGCCATACCAGCCTGCTCTCTTCGTTCCTCCTCCTCTCTCCATCTCATTGTCACGCCTGCCCGCCTTATCACTATGGGGAGTAGGGGTTTCAGTCACTCTGCTCCCCAGCTCTGGAACACTCTACCCCCTGATCTCCGCAACTCGATTCTATCAAACACTTTAAATCCACACTCAAAACTCATCTGTTTAGACAAGCCTACTCATTGTGACTAAGTATGTATGATAATATGTATATTTCGTTTTTAGTTTGTTTTATTGTACTTTTTGTAAGGCGACCTTGAGTGTCCAGAAAGGCGCCAAATAAATAAAATGTATTCTATAATTATTATTATAAACCTGTTCTTCGATATCTAATTTATAAAGTATAAAATTATTAAACATAAAATATTACTCTTACAATGCTATTATTATAAAAAAAAATGTCCTTATGTGCAGTTAGCAGATTAATTAGTAAGCAGCCTAAAATCTGTTAATTTTAAACTTGGGAGATGCTTGTGCTAACAAAATAGCAAAGCAGTTTTGGAATAGAAGCATATTTTTAAATGTATGAAACCTGACTGAGGCTCTTACCAGTAGTGAGTCATGCTTAATAATGAACAGCTGGCGGGTCCACTGACCCAACCACTTCTTCCTCCAAAGGTATCCGCAAATGCGTGACTCTGGCATGGGTCTTAAGCAGGGTTGAGAAGAACTCCACTGGATGTAGTGAGCTCTGTCCTTCACAAACTCTTCCTCCTCTTCACCATACGACTCATAGTGACTGCTGTCTGAGTCCACTTTATCTGAGGCAAAGATGGGGATTTTAGCATAAAAATGTTTTTAATCTCACACGTGTCTCTTGTACCATGTAAGAAAGTAAATCATGCAGGTTTAGAATGACATGAAGGTAAGTAAATGACAACTATCACTTTAAAAATGAACCGCTATAGCAGCAGCTTTAAATTTGTGATGTTCATTGTAATATTCAGCTATTTGTTGTAGCAGTCGGCTACCACACTGACCTGTATTTTGACTGGCCGGGACAAACGGTTCTGCCTCCTCGTAACAGTCTTCCTCCTCTAAACACGGGGGGTGTTGGGGGACAGCAGAAATTATAGACTGAAGACACACACAAAGAAAAGCACATAATGTATTTTCCATGTTCAACACCCCATTAAATATCTAATCCCCCATTCACATGGCAACTCAATGCATTTAGACATGCATTTAGGCATGTAGACATGGTCAGGACGATCTCCTCCTGAAGTTCAAAATGAGCATCCGAGTGTGGAATAAATATAATGTAAGTGATATTGATGGAGGCATGGTTGTTGGTGCCAGACAGGCTGGTCTTAGTATTTACCAGTAGACTGGTAGGGTTAGGGTTAGAATAAGTTGACAAGTTTCAAATTTACTTATAGTCAGTTGAATGACTTTTAGGGGACCATCACAATAAAGTGTTAGCAGATATTAAGCAAACAGTCTACTAATACTCTAATGAGAGTTAGATGACATACTGTAGGTGCAACGATACTTAATGGGGTGGTTTGGAATTTTGGACATCGGGCCTCATTTCCAAGTGAACCTTAGTGTTATTTATCAGTGGAGACAGTTTTGAAATTTTTTTTATCCAGTCGTCCCAGTTGCATAGTTCGCTGGTGCTAGGCTAGCCTGAGTCAACGGTAACTTTTAGCATGCCATTAAAAACAGTTTTATCCACTCCACAGTACACCAAAAGCAAATCAATTGTAACGCCAGACTATCGATGTGTCTGTTGAGAGAATAATGTTAGAAATCAAACTATCCTTTTCATCTCAATGATTGCATTACATTTACAGGAACTAGTTTCTCAGCAGCGGCGGAATTTTACTTCACTCCGGTTAGTAGTAACGTTACTGCGTCAAAAAGTAAACACAGAACAGAAGCGCATGACAGTCAGGACGTCTAGCTTAGTAATAATTTTTGAGGTAAACGAAGGCAACATGGTGATTTGGTGTGCATTTTGCAATTGCAAGAACAAACCTAATAAATGTTCATCGTGAAGTTTTCACAAATTTCCTTTTGAAGATCCAGAAAGGATTCAACTTTGGATTATTTCTGCGGGCTTGGACAAGGAGACACCGGCAGAGACTCTAAAAAAATTGAGGATTTGCAGTGACCATTTTAGACCAGATGACTTTAAAGAACCATTTAATCGAAATGGTCACAGGTTTACAGTATGACAAGGAATGCAGTCCAGCCGTTTTTCCAGATGCACCAAAAGCTAACGTACAGATGTAACGTTAGCTACAGGTAAGTTAATATGTTTTGTTAGGCTACTCTAGTATCTAATGAAGCTAGCCCTTTCATAACTGATAGATCGACACTGACAATGTTAATGGAGAATATGTAACAGTTCAATGCATTGTGCGGAGTGACAGTGTAACTAAGAGTATAACGTTAGTGTAACTAAGTGTATACTATAAAACTTCAAATAATAGCCGAGTCCCAAATAGACGCCTGTCTCTTTTACATGCCTGGTGTGTCTGATAGAGGGTCTGTTTTTTTAGCCGGGTTATATTAAATCTAATAAAACCCGTCAGATCGTCCGCTTTTTTAGCGGCCGCAAAAGCAAATTTCTGTCCCGCCAAAGCCTATTTTGATTGGTCAATGATGGAGAATAGAGACTGCTGCGCTTGACTGGGAGCGTAAAGAGCAGAGAGAGAGAGAGAGAGAGAGAGAGAGAGAGAGAGAGAGAGAGAGAGAGCGTGTGCAGTCTCACGTCTTCTCACAACACATCATAAATTATACTCTGTTTCTGTAGTGATGAGTGTCAGCGGCAGGTAAATATACTTGCGTGATTGTAGTGTGGACCGGCTCTCTTGGTTGCCTAGGTAACTTCATATCACTCCGCCACCGCTTGTCATAGATTGCACCTCCGTGGCTCTCTCCAATCGCCAAAGAACACCCTCACCTGAGTACTGAACTTCATTTCCCATCAGCCCCGTACCTGGGTCTGATTACTGTCCCAGGTGTATCCACTTAACTCCTCCATATAAACTGACTCAGAACCACAACTCATTGCGAAGTCTTGTTCTGCCCCGGCTAACATTTCTGAGCGTTATTTCTACATTGATTGCATTCCTGTTTACTGACCCTTGCCTGTTCACTGTTTCTCGTCTATTGTCTGCTGCCTGCCTCGACCCTAGCCTGCTATTGTTTCTGATTCTGGATTACCTGTTACAGTCCTGTTTGCTGATCACTGATCTTTGCCTGTCTGATCACTCTTCAATAAAGTACTGCAAATGGATCCGAACGTCTCTGCCTCTGTATCACAGAAGACTTCACCAGAACAGGATCTAGCAGCCTTGCATCGCCTTAGCACTGAAGTATCATCCCAAGCCTCAGTACTAGCTGCTCACCAGCAACAGCTTGTTAAACTGACTTCAATGACTGAGGAGCTAGTACGATCTATGCGGTCGCCATCTGCGCGAGGTCCGGCACCAGCTGGTGCCACCACATCTTCTGAATCCCCCATTCAAAAGGTGAGTACTCACCTCGGTAATCCCGGTAATCCTCGTCTGTCACTTCCTGTGATTAATATGATGGCTCTGCTGCAAAATGTAAAGGATTCCTTTCTGCAATGCTCGATATTTATTGATCAACAACCCAACTTTTATTCAACCGACGAAAGCAGAGTGTCATTCATTTGCTCACTTTTGACCGGGAGGGCTTTGGAGTGGGCAACGGCGCTTTGGGAGGGAGGAAGCTTGACATTCCCCTCATATGCCAGTTTTCTCCGTCAGTTCAGAGAAGTTTTCGAACATCCAGCCGGTGGAAAGGAGCCTGGCGAGCTGTTACTCGAGCTACGGCAGGGAGGATCTTCAGCCGTGGATTACACTCTTTCCTTTCGAACTCTCGCCGTGCAGACAGGCTGGGAGGAGGAACCTTTAAAACTACTTTATTGCAAGGGGCTCGAGTCAAATCTTCAGGGAGAACTGGCATGTCGTGATGAGGGGAAAACCCTCAGTCAGTTAATGGATCTTGCCATTCACCTTGACAACCTGATGCGTACACTGCGCTCGCCTCTGATGCATCAAACCGTCGAATCTGTCTCGGCAAATCAGGTACCTGAGCCCATGCAGATCGGTTATACTCGGCTCAGTCCCGAGGAGAGAGAGAGAAGATATCATAATCGTCTGTGCCTATACTGTGGACGATCCGGTCACATGAAGACAGCATGTCCAAATAGACCCAAGTCCCGAGACTCTGCAACGGTGAGTGCCAGTCCTTGTCATTCTCAATCCTTTGTACTGCCCGTCACTTTATGCTTTGGAAATAAATTAGTACACACCAACGCTTTAATTGATTCCAGGGCTGCAGGAAATTTTATTGATTTGTCATTTGCTAACTATCATCATCTCTCTCTTATTCCATGTACCTCGCGGGTATCAGTGGCAGCACTGGATGGACACCCCCTGGGCACAGGCCAGGTGCACTACATCACGCAAGAGATCACTTTAAGCACCGGCACCCTCCACTCGGAGACCATTCAACTGTACACCATTGTATCGCCACGACACCCCATCATTCTAGGTCTGCCCTGGCTGGAGAAACATAATCCCACCATTTCATGGACTGATAAACAGATAACTTGTTGGTCCGATACCTGTCAAAGAAAATGTCTGCACCCTCTCACAAAGCTCACACCGATTTCAACTAATTCTGAGAATCCAGCTCTTCAGGAGATTCCTGCAGAGTATCATGATCTCGCTCTCGTCTTCAGCGAGAGTAAGGCCGCTCAGCTTCCTCCTCACCGAACCAGCGACTGAGCGATAGATCTTACTCCTGGAGCAATTCCCACACGAGGAAGAGTGTTTCCTCTCTCTCAACCCGAATCCGAAGCGATGAAGACCTACATTAAGGAACAGCTCTCTAAGGGATTTATTAGACCGTCCACTTGTCCCGCTTCAGCCGGTTTCTTCTTTGTGAAGAAGAGGGATGGTAGTTTACGCCCATGTATTGATTATCGCAGCCTCAACGATATAACGGTGAAATTTCGCTACCCACTGCCATTAGTTCCTGCCGCCCTAGAACAGCTCCGCACAGCCAATTACTTCACAAAGTTGGATCTACGCAATGCCTACAATTTAATCCGGATCAGGGAGGGTGATGAGTGGAAGACGGCCTTCTCAACCACGACTGGGCACTATGAATACCTCGTTATGCCGTTTGGGCTAGCCAACAGTCCATCTGTATTCCAGGCATTTGTTAACGAGATCTTCCGAGATATGCTCAATCAAAAACTCATTATCTACATTGATGATATTTTGATCTATTCTGAGACTTTCGAAACTCATGTGCAAGATGTCAGAGCAGTGCTCCAACATCTCATAGACCACTAGCTATACACCAAAATCAAGGAATGTGAATTTCATCAAACACAAACAAGCTTCTTGGGGTACGTCATCAGCGCTGAGGGGGTAACCATGGACAACGGCAAAGTACAAGCAGTAGTTAACTGGCCACAACCCACAACTGTAAAGGAGTTACAGCTTTTCCTAGGCTTCGCTAACTTCTATCGATGGTTCATCAGAAACTTCAGCACCACGGCAGCACCACTCACAGCCCTTCTTCGGGGAGGAGGACAACGATTAAAATGGTCGGACGAGAGTAGTACTGCATTCAAACAACTCAAGGAGAAGTTCCACAACTCAAGGACCACTGCACCCATTTTGCACCATCCAGATCCCGAACGAGAGTTCATTGTGGAGGTAGATGCTTCCAATACAGGAATTGGGGCAAGCCTGTCACAACAGCATGGAAGCCCAGCTAAAATGTTCCCATGTGCCTATTACTCCCGCAAGCTTACCCCAGCTGAACAGAACTACGATGTAGGTGACATGGATCTTTTGGCTATGAAGGCTGCCTTAGAGGAGTGGCGACATTGGTTGGAGGGAGCCCGGTGGCCATTTACGGTTCTAACGGACCACTGTAATCTAGAATATATCAAGGCAGCCAAACGATTGAATCCCAGACAGGCCAGGTGGTCCCTCTTCTTTTCCCGTTTCGATTTTAAGATGACATATCGTCCAGGATCCAAGAATGGCAAAGCCTCTGAATCACACAGCTGTAGACTG